AATTATGTAGCCCATCCTGCTGGCCAGTAAATCCAGCAGGAGAAATCCTCCTAGGCCATGCGACAGCGTGCTCTGTCTCCTCTTCTCTGAAACTCACTCCGGGGAACTCGGGGGCGGGCGTGGGGGGCAAATGACGAACCCTGCCATGCACCGCTCTGGGGAAGAACTCAAGACCCAACGACAAACCCTCTTATGGGTTGAATTGTGTCCCCTGAGAAAGAGGCGTTGGAGTCCTAGACCCCAGGACCTCAGAGTGTGGCCTGATTTGCAAATGGGGTCTTTACAGAGGTGATGGAGAGGAGGTTGTTAGGGTGGGCCCCGATCCAACAGGACCAGTGTCATAAAAAGGAGAAATGTGGACCCAGACAGACATGCACGGAGGGGAGACGGCTGCATGGCTGGATAGATGCACATACAAGCCAAGGAATGCCACCCCTTCCTCTGAGAGTCACACGGGGCGGGCACAGGGTCACTAGGGCCGTCAGCCTCAGAGCCCCCAGGGCTGTGTGAATCCATCTGCCTGCCTGCTGGATGCTGGGGGCGGCTAGGATGTCCTTGGCCTCCTCCTCCCTCTGTCCCCAGCCTCCACCATCCTCCCGACGTGCTGCCCACTGCTTTCAGGCTGATGCCTGGCTTTTTAAGGATCTAACCCACGCCAGGCACGGAGAAATTTAAAGGGCCTGGAACGGCGGGAAGGAGAGAGAGGAGAGAAGGGGTGGGGGTCCACACACATCCTCTCTTTAAATTCAAAATGATTAAGATGGCATCTTCCTGAGGCAAAGGGTTTAAAAACAACCTGCTAAACACTGAAATTTTCTTTTTTTTCTTCGGTCACAAAAGCAGATGAATGGAATGTTTTAAGATGAAAAAAAATTACCAAAAAAAAAAAAAAAAAAAAAAAGAACCAGGGGCCAGCCCGGGTGGCGTAGTGGTAAAGTTCACGTGCTCTGCTTCGGTGGCCCGGGGTTCACAGGTTCGGGTCCTGGGGGCAGACCTAGCACCGCTTATCAAGCCATGCTGTGGTGGCGTCCCACATATAAAGTAGAGGACGATTGGGACAGATGTTAGCTCAGGGCCCATCTTCCTCACCAAAAAAAATAAATAAAAATCAGAAAGCCTATTTAAGGTCTATATCTTTCTTTTTCTGTGGGTCTGGGCCCTGGCTGCCTCCACAATCAATCAATCGTCTTCCTCCTATTTCATCTTCGCTATCCACGCAGTATTTTGATACCTCCATCTTGGATGTATCATTTTCTAAGATCCCCTTTATCTATTCACTTTTTATTTTCTCCTTGAAACGCCACACTGCGGTCCATTGCTCATCAGCCGCGGCCTCCTCTGTCAGAGGACGTACACCACCGCCAGATGCCCCACGAAAACCCTTTTAGTGGCCTTGTCCCTGCACAGGTCCTGGCCCAGTGCATGGGACCAATAAGAGATGGTGGCCCAGGAGGTGGAATTTAAGCTGAGGAGACCATAAAGGGGGCAAAGCCACTCCCAGCACGGGGAACAGCACGGGCGAGGGCCCAGCATCCCAGACACACGGGCACCAGTCCCCCTTGCCTGCTGGCCTGACCTCGGCATTCGAGGCCTCCACCGCCTTCCCCAGGCCAGCCTGCTGGGGAGACTAATGAACCTTCGAGAGACAGACACACCCCTGTCCCTTCCCCAGAGAGGCCTGTGTGCTCACCTACACCTGCTTTCAGAGCATCTGCCCTGAGATTCTCGTTCCAGCCTGTGTGGCTCTCCCAGGCGAGTCTGTGGCCCCAGGGCAGTGCTCCGGATCCCTGAGGGGTCCCCGTGTGAACTTTCTGGTTGTCACATGTTCTGTATGTCAGGTCTGACCATCCTGATCATGCTGTCCGCCTGGGATGCGGCCATTTTATTTATACGGATGAAGGAGAAAGCTTCCACTCACTGTGGGTGAGAGCTGGCTTAGCAAGCCCCCCATGCTGGATCCAGAGTCCTCCCCGAGGGGCCCTGGTGCTCCAGACCCTGCACAGACTGATTCTGGGGCCTCACTCCCCCTGGCCGTCTGCACCCCGCAGTGGCTGGCCATTTGGCATGGGTCGGGGGTGCGTGGTTTGCACTGTGGTGCCACAAGCCCTCCTATGCGGCTTGACTGACAGAGAGAGGGGTCTTCGCGCCTGCGACACCACACTGGCTCCCCTCCCAATGCCTCAGCACTGTGCCCACCCCCACCTCTTGCCCTGGGTCCCTCCAACTGGAAAGGACCCTTCAGCAGCCCGTCCCGAGCCCTGGTCCCTCCATGCCCGAGCAGCGGCTCTGCTCTCTGAGCCTCGGTTTCCTCTGCGACCCCAGCTCTCGCGCCCCAGGACCCAGATGCTGCCACCTTCAGACTCTCCGGGCCCCTCACCAGCTCCTTCAACTGGGGAAAATCCATCAGACAGAATGCAGCCCTTGGAGTGAAGGGGGAAGGCAGAGTGTGAAATTCCAGAGTCTTCGAGAAGCCCAAAGGCAACCTGAACACTCCCGACCAGGGGTGGGTGGCAGGCAGGGCTGGCGCGGTGGGCGTGCGACCGTGCAGTCACACGGGGCCCCGAGCTGGGTCTAACGCTCTGCTGTCGCCGTCTTCAAGTTCTCAATACTTTTTAGGACACGAGGCCTACAAATTCCGTCCCAGTTCTGGTGGCAGGTTACGGGGAGCCCTCAGGCTCTTGGGGGACACTGTCCCAGGAGGTCCCAGAGGGAGGGAGCTGGCTGTCTGCTCCCTCTGCGGGGGCTCAAGAGGGATTCCCTTGCTCCCTTGCTGTGGGTGGCTGAACCACCCCCAGAGAACCTGGGGCTGGGTCCTGGGCCCCTGGACTGTGCCCACGGGCACCTGAGCGCCTCCCCACCCCTGTGTGCTTCTGTGGGCAGAGCTCCCCACCTCGAGGAAGCATCGTGCCTCCTCTGTACCTCCAAATTCCCATCCCCGACGGAACCCCAAAATGGACAGTTCAGAGGCACAAAACTAAGGGGCAGCCCAAACCTAGGACGCTCTATACCAAAATGGTAAAGAAAAAAAAAATCACCAGCACTGAATGGCACCCGTTTTCCAACTGGCTAAGCTTCTGTTGTATCATCTGTAAAATGGGTACATGGACAAGGACAATAACAGTGACACCTTCCTTACAGGGCTAGCAGAACGCGAAGTGCTCTGTAAAGCAAACAGCACGGCTAATAAGGGATGGGAGCTGGCATTTCCCACCAGTACTTTCTAGCAACTTCGGGAGCTCCTGGTTAGCTGACTCCCGCTCAGAGGCTGCTGGCCCGAGGCCCTCCCCTGCGGCCCCACATGCCCCAGCCCTCAGCACACCCACGCGGGGGTCTTTGGTTTCTTCTCTTGGACCCCCAGCTGGGTGCTGGGGGAAAGCAAGCTGTTAACTCGGGATCAAGGCTCCCCGCCAGCTTCGGTTTTGCTGGTGGGTTTCCGAGGGCTTCACAGAGCTGGTGGGACAGAAAGCCCGGGGCTGCCAGAGGCTCGCAGCCGCATGCCACCACCGTCTGTCCTGCTCCGAGGGGGCTCCAGGCCAGGGGCAGGGGGTAAGGGGTCAGTCAGCGTGCTCCCCAGTCCCCAGGAAAAAACACGCTCATGTCACACCTCGGTTCTTCTTAATTAAATGCAACCTGTGGCTCTCCAGGACAACACTGCTGTCCATGATTTTTCTCTTTCTCTTCCAGAAATCTTTTTAAGTTGAGCTAAGAAATTATTGAGGTCAAGCAAAGGTAAGGCGTTGTTAAGCACACCCCCGCTTACAGCACCCTCTTAAACCTCTTGCTTTTCAAAGTAAGTCCCTGGACTCTTGGGCTCACCCAGACCTGCCGGAGACCACCCTGCTTTTTCACAAGGCCCCAGGGAGGGGGATGCACACTCCGGTCTGCTCCGAGAAGCCCTGCTCTCCGACGCACGGGAAGGGCTGACACCCAGGGCCCCTCTCCTCCGGCACAGGTGCAGACGGTGCCTGGGACTGCCCGGGCTCCAGGAGCCCTTGCTGGAGGCCCTGCGTGGGACCCCGGGTCTGAGCACCCGAGGGACACCCCTGGAGCCACCTGCAGCTGGCGTCTGGCCCTTCTTCGTCTTCTCTACGAGGGACACGGGCTGGATACGCTGAGGCCTCCGGGGAAGTTGTGGGCCCTTGAGCCACATCTGGGACAGAGGGAGATGAACACAGAACTACAAGACCCCCACACACAAGGAGGAAAACCCGGTGACTTCAGAAGAGGCTACGGAAGCGCCCGGTGGAGGGGACCATCCACAGGTCCCAGCTGAGCCCGCCAGGGGCGGGGAGCGTTGGGGGCTGCTCTCTCTGTGGACCCCAATCTCGCTCCTTGGATGCTTCTGGAATGCCAAGTGGCCTATCTGATCTGTTCTCCTTGACATGAGGATCCTACGGGGTGGGTGTCAGGGACCCCATTTCACAGAGGGGGACTCTGAGGCTTGGAGAGTCAGTGGCTTGGCCGCATCTCACACTGGGGAGTGATAGAGCCGGGATTCAGACCTAAGACTCTGACACTCAGACCTGTGCGCTCCAACCTGCCTCCAGGTGCCTGAGAACTCGCTTTCCCATCCCCAAAGGAGATTAGTGTCAGAAGACCCTCGGAACGGCCACAGGGCTCAGGTGTGGCGAGCAGATGGACAGGCAACGAGCAGGGACAACACACGAGGCCCACAAACCTTTGAACTTGGGGGGGCGGGGGGGGGGGGGCTCTGGGTCTCCAAGGGGAGGGGCTGGCTCGTGAGTGCATCCAGGGGAGCGGGCAACATCTGGGCAGGGGCAGAGGGCCGCGGGGAAGTGTGTCCCGGTGTCTTCCCCCCATACTCCGGGCTGGGCTGTCCGGGGCTCCCTCCCTCCCCGCGTGGGACAAGACCGTGGCCTGGCACGCAGGGGACAGCTTGGCGGAGGGCGGCCCATGCTCACCTGGGGAGAAGGGAGCCGCGCTTTCCTCAGCGTGGGCTGCGTGTAAGGCACACACCATCACCCCCACACCACCACAGCTCAATGATCCCACTTCATTTATTACCAAAATAGCACACAGTTCCAATCACAGTGAACATACAGTGTTTAACACAAACCTGATACCTGTGGAAAGAAGTCAGGATTCGGACAATCGAGTCGTTTGGAATCGTAAGCGACACCCCAAACCGTCAGCACTCCATACTCCAAAAATACGCTTTTGAGAGGTTTGGAAACTGAATTAAAATGTCTACACAGCTATGAACAATTGTTTAATAAAACTTTTTCATGTTTCCATTACATGTAAATATATCAATTTGGCATCTCTATAAAAACTCTGAAAATGGTGCAAAAGTTTCATTCTCTTTGAGAAAGCCATTGACAAAAAATATTCACACTTCACTAAAATTTTGAAAAATGGTCTTCTTTCAAAGCTTCTTTATTAATCTGAAATCTTCTGGATTATCAAAATCTAGGTTTGCTTTTTCCTCCTAAAACACTAAAGAACATTTATTCACAAGGATAAAAAGGCAAATGGGGGGATGGAAAACTGAGAAGGGCTTTTTTCTTTTCCTGAAAATAATTAAAAAAAAAAAAAAAGCTAGTTACATAAACATCCTCCAAAGAACACAATGAGATTCATTTTATTGTTGACTTTTGGACAGCAGTGTCATACTTTATTGAAAACAAACCCATGTAAAAACAAAGTTAAAATGAAAAATGGTACCTGAAAAATAAATTATTTCATATAAAACAAATCAATAACTTAAAACACACTAATATACAAAACGTCTACCATCTATCGTACAACACGGGAACCGGTTGGTGAAGCGGCCCCCCAGAGCAAGTCACTGTAAACGGAACATCACGCGGTAAAGAGGTGGCCCCCCCGACGGACAGGCCTTCCCTTCTGGTGGAAGGAAATGTCACTGCTCAAACCATCGGTCCCCCTCACTTAGGTCTTTGCGGTGACTTACAAGTAATTTTTTTTTAAAAAAATGACCAAGCGGAAAACTGAACTATGTCATGAAAAGGCTGTGGGAAAATAGAGGATACAGTCATCAGAAGTCAGAGGCGAATGAGAAAGGCTGGAAATGTGGCCCTCGCCTGAGGTCTGGGATTCAAGTTCTGCCGCCACTGTAAGGAAGTGTCTGTTATCCCTGCCACGCGCCAGAAAGCACTGTGACTTCAGCTGGGACCCGGACCTGGGAAGCTGATGAACAGCGGGGCTGCCTCAGGTCCCAAAAGGTGCCTTAAGTCCTGGGAAGATGGAAGAATTTCGGGGGGAGGGTGGGGCTGGGGGATGGGGAACAGAGGCCCTCGGCAGCTCATTCTTAGCGTCTCCTATGTAACCAGGAGGGCTGCATAAAGCACAGAGAAATAAACTCAGGCTGAATCCCATGTGAAATGGAACAGCAGGGTGATGTCAACTCTGATTTTCAAGGTCGACAGCGGACTGGGGTAAGTCACGTCTTTGCGGCAACTTAGACACAAACGGCCCTCGTTTGGAGGCAAAACCAGGATAAGTTATTGCCAATAACAGTCTTCGGATTCGCCTACTTGTCTGGTCCAGCAGGGACCGCCCTGCAGACCCCGGATGCTGGCCGTCCAGCACCAACACCAAGTGCAGACTCTCAAAGGTTAAGGCAGCTGCCCTTGGCCAGGGAACGACTCACCTTCGGGGAAGAAAGAAGGCAGAACGCACCCAGCGCCATCTGCCCACGGGCTGAGAGAGCCCAGCTTTCAGCTATTCTGGCGAGACGGTGGCCATGTGACTAGAGGCACAGCCAGCACAGAGAACCTCAGCGTGGCATGTTGCCCGGAAAAGCTAAGGAAGGCAGAGCCAAGGGGAGGAGAAGGGCTAAGTCAACTGGAACCAGGTTCACAGATGCGGAGCGGCTCAGCGAGCAGCCCCCAGGGGAAGCGACACAGGTCAAAAGAGAACTCGATCAAAGCCTCTTTGGCATTTATGTACCAAATCAAACTTCTGACAAATCAACATTATCTACTCTTCATTCATTTTCATCAAAACCCCCAACTAAAAGGAGAGCACTCATTTTGCGAAATACAGATACGAATGATCGATGCAAAAGACTTTTAAGAAGTTTCTTTTGGATTGTGACTAGAAAAAAATGGTGTCTTCCTTTTGCAAACAAGCCTAGAGAAGATGTCAGGAGCTTTTCGGACACAGGGCCAGCATCTGGTACCCCGATGGGAGTGACACTGCCTGGCGGGAGTAACAGGTCAAAAGCAGAATCCTTCCACACAGTTTGGCTAATTAAAACTCCCAGAGAAACGCGTCGGGGTTTTTAGCTAGAAGGCTGCTCAAAGAGTGGAGACCACGTAAAAAGAGAATTTTACGGAAGTGAGAAACTTCAGGCAACGTCCACAGGTTCATATACACTTCACGTCTCCTTCTCGCCTGCGCCAGCAGCAGAATAATCAATATGGTTCACACAAAAGGCAGGGGAGGGAGGCAGCCCCAGCGCTGGCGGCAGGCCCACCACACTTCACAGCTTACGTTTCCGACAGATTTCTCGTTAAGAAACCGAACACTAGCGGGGGCTGGCAGGGCTGTGGGTCAACGAGGAGACTTAAAGGTCGCCTTCAGGATTGGGAACCTCATCTTCATGGAGACGTTGGCCCGAGGCGAGCGCAACCCGAAAGGTGTGTTCTCTCAGGAAAACACCCTGGTCCCGGGGTAACAGTGCTCTGGGGCGGACAGAGTGGGGACCCCCTTGGTGTCGGATCCAGGCAAACAGGCCTTGGCTCTGGGTTCCAGGAGGAGGCACGTAAGCTGGCTTTGACTTAGGATCTGGAAACTTCTGCGGGAGGGCGGATGTCCTCCGGGGCACTTGGCCAACTGAGGAGACCAGGCCTCCAGGTACGAACCTGGCCTTTAGTGGGAAAAGAGCATGGCAGCCTCTTAAATTTGAGGGGCTCATGCAAGCAGCTGGCAGCCCCTCCATGAAGCACGAGAGACACGGGGTGGGGATGGGCAGCCTTGAACCATCCAAGGGCTTCTCAGAACACTGACCTGCTCTGGAGAAGGCTGTGCCCAGGGCCCACTTTTTTTTCCATTTAAATAAATAAATAAATAGATATAGATAAACAGATAGATAGATAAATAATACCGCAATTCCATGATATCGATAACCAAGAAAGAGCCTACGGTTACACGTTTTTAGTCTCACGTCGAGGTTAAAAACTGCTGGTACTAGGCTGTCCGGGTTTGGACCCTCTCTGTACACTAGGACACCTGGCCTGACCTACTCCCCAGGCCCTCTCTCTTCGCCTCTTTCTACCGGCTCCCTGTTTGACAAAACGCCATCTGTGACCACACGTTCTCACGCCACAGACTCATAAATGCTTTGTCTCCAGGCAAGGCTTTGTTTTTTAAGATCTCATGAACCCTCCCTGAATGCTGGGCTGTCTGGACCTTCCCTAGCCAAAAAGAAAGAAAAGGTAAAATAAAAAACAAAACAAAATTCGAGCAAAACAAAATCAAATTTAATGGTCTTAAATGCAAGAGTAAAAACAAACAAAAAACACAAAAAAGCAAAAGAAAATTAACAGAACAGAACAACCCCAAATGTCAAGGCAGTTATGAAGAGAACTTGCAGGGTTAATCTTTAAAACTACAAATCAAAGGCTTTTTAGTTAATAGATACTGGCAAGAAGTAAGTACTTTTCTGCTGAGTGTTCATACGAAAGCGGAGATTCCAAACAGAGTCTGGCTAAAGTAGAAAAAGGTCTAGCGCTCACGAGAAGGGATGCGAGAGATACAATGCTCAAATGTTTCCGGGTTCTTAAAAAATAGAGCGATCTGAACGCATTCGAGCCGTGTTCGATGCTCTGGGAAACTGGAGAGAGGATCGTGAACCACAGTTATCCGATGTGTGTGGCACCGTGCATGCAGTGTGTGGACAGGAATTCGGGTGGCACAGTGGCAACCCGTCTTCAGGCGTGCCTGCGGCTTAGATCTGACTCTGGAATATACTGGAGTTTCCCTGAAACTCTTTGGTCCATTCCCATTGGCGCCTGGGCTTACAAAATACGTTCGTGTCCTTCTCTGGAGGGCCCGGCCCAGCCCGGCGTGTGGGCCCCCTCCCCGGTGGTGGCCCACGTCGGTCGGGCCCGCTGCCGCTGCCAGGACCACTGGGCAGAGCCCGGGGGGCTGAGTGGGCAGGAGGTGGCAATGGAACCTGCTTGGGAGAGCCATTTCCTGTCAACCAAAGCAGAAATCGCTTAAAACGGTGAAGCGGTGGAACGCACACCCAGCATCTGTCTAACGGCTTTAGTCTCAAAACTCAAACTAGAACTAAAAGATCATTTCGTTTGGTTTTTTGTGTCCAGTTTGTGGCGAGAGCGAATGAAACGGGTGTTAGACAGTCTCAGAAGTTAAAGCATGCTTCAGTTTCACCACCATCCCGAGGGACTGGCTAGTCAACAGTCTACTTAGATTTCTGTTTAATATATATTTTAAAGGAAATAACTTAAGAAACTTAAAATTGGTCTAACATGGTGGGATTTCAAACATTTGAACATGTCGGTTGCATCCCAGAGTATAAAAACCTTTTCACTTCTCATTTAGACTAAGACAAACACTTGTGAGAATTGGCGCAAAATGAGTTGTACACTAACAAAAAAGGTTCAACTTCTTCACTCTTAATTAGCTACTCCGTACAAAAAAAAGCATGAGCGAGTTATTTGTGGGACTTGTTGGTTTTGAAGGAAACCTGTAAGATTTTGTCCCCCAGGCGGTAGCCGTTCAGACTTGCTATGGCCATCGCGGCTTCTTCATAGTTTGTCATGGTCACAAAGCCAAAGCCTTTGCACTTGTTGGTGTTGAAGTCGCGAATCACTTTCACGTTAGTGACGGCGCCAAAGGGGCCGAACATCTGCCAAAGGATCCCCTCATCGGCATCCTGGCCGAGGTTGTAGATGAAGATGCACCAGCCCGAGGAAGCGTTGCCTGGGACATTGACCCCAGAAAGCCCGCTCATGTGATCTACACCCATAGGGGAGAACCTAGCAAACAGAGAGCACAGCATTCAGGTCAAGGTCAGTGCCGGCCAGCGCGCCACCGCGGGGGAGCGGGCGGGGGACAGCTCGGGCCCTGGCCTCTACACAGCCCGGTGTGAGGTGCTCGGGCCTGGCACCCCCGCCAGTCACAAACCGAGAGGACTTCAATATGGTGGCGGGGGGAGGGGCGGGCTCCCTGCAGGGTCGAGAGCCTTCTCTTGGAGCAGCGGCCTGTTAGTGGCCTCCGACCAGCCACTCCCTCCACCCCTGCCACCACAGAGGTGGGGAGGGCCCTGTTTAGCCATTCCATGCCCCCCACATTTTAAATGATGGAAGCTTCTCCACATCCTCCTAGCTGCTGTGACATCCTCAGATCTTCCTGGAAGAAACTGCTCATACCCTATATGTCTGTGTATGTGCGTATGTGTGGGGGGGACTAGATTTTTTCTTTTCTTTCCCACAATTTTGCACGTTCCCCTCGTGACGACCCTCCCTCTTTGAGGGTTCAGCAGTGTCTGGTTGCCATACACCCCTGGGGAGGGCCACTGAAGGGTGCAAGGGAATTCCCTCTCACAGTTCCGGGCAACCTTCTGTTGCTGGCTCAGAACATCCCAGAAGGGCCAGGGGCAGAACTGAGGGCTGGGAACTACAAGTTCACCCAGCTTTACTAAACATGTGGGACCCTTTCCAAAGCGACACTTCCAGTGACATCACAAATAAGCCTTCTACAACTGTGCGGCCGTTGCAATAAGGAGTAAGGGAGGTGACAAAATTGTTTCTGAAGCCACGTGACCCTCTAGATATTTCACAAATTAAAAAGTAACAGTCTTCGGGTCAATTTAAGAATATCTGAGCACGACACAGCATCTGTGAAGCCACACAATGCAATCAGAGAAATACCACCTGCTCCAAAATAAAATCGGGCTTCGAGCTGTGGGGCTGATTGGGGTAAGTGGGTGCCTTCTAGCACCATTCAACAGATTCACTCTCAGGGGCCGGCCCAGTGGCGCAGTGGTTAAGTGCGCATGTTCCGCTTCGGCGGCCCAGGGTTCACCAGTTTGGATCCCGAGTGTGGACATGGCACCGCTTGGCAAGCCATGCTGTGGCAGGCATCCCACATATAAAGTAGAGGAAGATGGGCATGGATGTTAGCTCAGGGCCAGTCTTCCTCAGCGAAAAGAGGAGGATTGGCAGTAGTTAGCTCAGGGCTAATCTTCCTCAAAAAAAAAAAAAAATTAGATTCACTCTCTCCACAGATGTGAGAGAAGAGTGATCAGCCCCAGGTTGCAGCCCACGGATCCAAGGGCTATTTTCCATGCAGTTATGGAAGAATCAAGACACATTATTGGCCATGGTTTTGAATCTTCGAGAATACTTTTAAACAGCCCCAGCCGGGATGTCTGAGTTGGTTAAACGACTCAGGTGGCTTGTCAGTGGTACTGAGTCTGTCTGGACGACTGTGAGACCACAGCACCACCAAAATGCGGGTGGGAAAGGGAACCCGAGCACCTGTGTGACATTAAGCCAAGCTGGTTCTCAATGAGAATGGAAAGAGGCTCCAACTTGGAGAAAGACCTCCTTCCCTCCACGTTTCGTAGGATATCGAATGCAGACCCGAGCTATTACAGTGAAGTCTTTATAGAGCGACTATGCTGAAAAGAACCTGCGGGGACACGGTACTGTCTTTATTGACATGACTCATCCTCATTAACCACTGTTGGCTGGCCTTTCCCCTCTAACTGGAGCTGACTTCCTTCATCGTGACTGTCGTGAAACCCACCCCTCCTTTTCTCTGATGGTACAAAAGGGGAACTGACTCTTCCTTTATTTGGGCCTTTTTCCGACGTGATAAGAACTGACTGCAAACTCCTCTCCTGGGTGTCTCTTCTTCTCCTCTATCTGCCTCTGGTGGTGGCTTTGCCCTCCCTCCCCTTCTTCCTCCCACCTCTCCTCGCTGTGTCCCTCTGGCCATCTCGATCCCTTTCCTGCCTGACCAGCATTTGCTCCTGCTCGTCTCCCTTTGTTCCCCACTCCATGTTACTGTGCCTTCTCCTCCTCCAAGCTTCCCTGGTTTTCCAGAGTTCCTGGGGAACTCACTGAACGCTGCCGTCCACACATCCCGCCCAGTCGGTGGTGATGCCCACGGCGTCACCTGATTTTCAAAAGCGGATTTAGCTCGCTTCTGTGCAAAGCCCTTCCCCCGCCTGTGTCTTTAAATTAGAAACGCCAGGGAAGGAAGAAGGCCAGCTTTGGAAGCTGGGCCGGGCTGAGAACTCTGGATCGCTGGCCTGGGAAAATAACAGCTCGCAAATCGGCACCTGTGGAAATGGGCAGGGTTTTACCCACCCCCACTGCTTAAAACAAAGATGGGACACCTGAAAAGCAGCGGAGAAAAATCCTTAACACACCCGAGATAAGCCCTCAGGCCACTTCTTGAAGTTTTGACAGAAACAAAACAAAACGGCCCCGAAATTGGAGTCTCCGCTATTCGAGAGGTGGTTCACCCGGGATCCTGGAGTCCAGGTTACTGACTGTCAGTGTCTCTGTTCTACTAGATCCTGGCAACCAGAATCACTTTCAATAGGGAAAGACTCAGGACTCTGGGAAGACTGTCCACCTCTAGGACAGGGCTTCTAAACAGAAGGTGTGTAATATTCAGATCCCAACACGACTCCACAAGCCAGGTGACGGGAAAGGTCTGCCTTGGGCCCGCCTGTTCAAACACTCTGGCAGGACAGCTCTCGCTGTCACATAGAACCATCTTTCAAACTCATGGCTCCACTGTGGTGTCACTAGAAACTGGACACCGGAGCGCTAGGCACGCCCTCCCTGGGGCCTGGTTGGAGCTGGCACCCACTTTTTGATGGCAATTAAAAACTACATGCCCGTGGAAACAAACAGCTGTCACACAGACACCTTCTGGATGCAGGTGGAAATGATTCTGAACGTGGCTTTCTGACGCGATCGGCCTGGCATGCCCAGCGGTCCCCATCGCACATGGTCACCCAGCCAGCCGGGCTGGGACCGCCCTAAGGAACAGAGCCGGTCCGCTGGGAACGGCTGGATAGAGGAGCGCGCCGCCGCCTGACCCACCTGAATCTCTGCGCCTGGTGATGGACGGGGCCTCCGAACCGTCTGGCTGGCGAGTGGTAGAGCTGGGAGAGCAGCGCCACGTTTTTGTTCTGGTTGGGGTTGGCGGCAAACTTCACTGTAATGGGCTCGGAGGAACCTGGGGGTTTATGACCATTGAAACTGGTAATTGCCTCTTCCGCTTCCGACCGTTTGTCAAACCGGATAAACGCAACCCCTCTGGACAAACCTTTTTAACAAACCAACAAAAATGGAGTTAGGGGGAAAAAATGCAAGGAGTTTTCAAACTGAAAAGCAAAAGTCAAGTCAGTCAGTCTACTGTGGTTCAGACTGGATGCTTGCTTAATGAGATAAACAAAAATGAAACCTAAATATGGACGCTAATGAATTTAAAAAAACCCAATGACTAATAAAAGATTAAGGTTTCAGACTTTCTTTTGAGTTGAGGCACCAACTCCACAGTCTCGGTGCCAAAAGATATCTTGGCGACAGACATCCCAAACAGACACCCAAACCTGTTTCTTGAAAAAAGCCACGTTAGAGGAGATTACATCCTTCACCACTATTTCGATGCCGGGTGCCCACCACAGCATGGGCACACAGACGTGCTGAGGAGCAGGCGGATGACGAGGGCCGGGTGAGGGATCTGCCAGGGCTCTGGTGTCCCCCGAGACTCCCTCGGGCCATGGAGTCCTGCTATCAAGCCTCTCCGGACACCTGCTGCCGAACCCTCACTCATCTCTTGCATACGCCACTGTAAGGTCCTGAGACCCCCTGCGGGCCCCAAATTGCCACTTACTCTTGCCCCAGAAAACTGCCCCAGCACACACAGCAGTGCTGAAACATGCCCACAGACCCTGGGCGGGTTGGGAGACCTGCCGTAGGCCCACTCCATACCTGGTCCTGTTCCTGCATGGGAAGGGCCAGGCCCCCCTGGCTCGGCCTCCGGCTGCCTTGGGAGGGCGCCTTCTCTTGGCAGTTAGACTGAGCCACCCGAAGGCCATCCCTGGGTCCCTGCTGTAACCCAAACCCTCGACAGAGCGAGAACGTGACCCTGGACCTGGCTGCCTGAGAGCAGGGCCCAAGGGCAGAAGGCAGCATTGGGTCAGCCTGGTAGGAGTGAGATCCGAGCAAACTGGATGCGAGAGGGCTCAGCCACTCTCCACCCCATCCATCCACATTCTGGGCCTGGGGGAGCGATGAGGACACCTCGAGGAATGGGGTGGGGCTAGGGTGAGGGAATGCAGAGCCATGGTGAGGCCTGGCTCCTCCTCCTGGGGAAAAGAAACTGGGGTCAAGCGTGAAGGGCAAAGTATAGTGGGGAGGTGACAGCTGAGGGCCAGAGGAGGGCGACGTCACTGGGCTGGAGTCACAGGAGTGCCCTGGCAGGGGAGGCAACAGGGACAGCCCTATCCTGGACACTCAAGTTCTCGACTGCCAGTCACAGGCCATCCTAAGTCGCACTCTCTTCTCTGGACAAAGGCTTTGAGCACGCGGTGAATGACAGTTATCAAAGCATGACAGCCCTGGGCTAGGGCCACCGGCTAAGTGAGCACAGGGACGTCCCCCAGTCAGCTATGTCCCAGCACTGTTTCCCACAGGGTCTCACCAACTGTCCCCATGATGGGCACAGGGCATGGGTCTCCCCAGTTGGCCCAGAGGCCATGGAGGGACATGCAGAGATGCAGGCACCCCAGGTGGGGCACTGAGATGACAAGCATCAGTGCAAGGCACGGTCACCCCCTCTGGGCCTAGAATTCCACCTCAGGCCTGACGTGGACGCGACACTGTGGGCCCTGTTTGAGGCGACAGCAGTCAGGGACCCTGAGGCCAAAGATTCTTTCTTTACAATGATCACCGACCGTGGACGCCCCAGGCTGAGCCCTAAGGCCCACACCCCAACTCTCCAACTGGGAAACTCCTTCTGGGGGGTTCCCCCAGCCCGGAGGCTCCTAGTGGCCTCAAGGCTGCCCCCGCACTGGCTCCACTACTGTTTACATATAAACGTCAAATTCACACAGCCAGAGACACTGGCTGACTCAGTGAGCTCAGACCTAGCAATTCCCACCTGTGCCAGGAAAGTTCCAGAGCCTGAGCTCATGCTAAAATTTCAGTTCAGAAGGAACACCTGAAAACACGTACTTGGCACACACTGTTTTTATTGACTCTTCAACGCGTGAACAGCAGCTTAGACGGGAAAACTGAAGAGAAACCTAACTCGAGGCTAATGGGACTGAAAGCATAGTCGGTGGGCTCCCCGAGAGCTGCCCCGGGGCGGCGGCTCCATTCGATGCAGCAGGACCTTGCGACCAAGCAGAGAGAAAGTGTGCGTGCAAGCGGGGCTCCCGTTTGCTTGTGTAAAACGACTTTCAAAGGAAAACTGCCCAAGCGAAACGAAGAAAACCCCAGAAAGAGAAAGAGAACGTTATTGAACATCAGGGAATGTAAATTCACTAAACGATCTGATGAATGTCTACTTTTTCAAGATGGTTCCGTTTTTCTTCTAGTGTTTTTTAGAATTAAGAGCAGAGACTAATAAATGGCACGATCTCCCGATGAGTAAAGTATAAAGTTTACAATTAAAATGAAGGAGGAAAGAAATTAAAAAAAAAAATATTAAGTTCCATCAGCTTGGGAGGTTAGGAGCTTCCTCGTTTCTTTAACCCTCAAAGGCACGTCATCTGGGGGCAAACTCGACACGGAAGTCTGTCTGCCACGCTCTCCTCTGTCCCGGCCCCTCGTGGGCTCCATGGGGTGCCAGCACCGAGCAGCCTGGCCCAGCAGAGGAGCCCTGGGCTGGTGACCTCCTCTAGAGCAGAGGGAGGGCCTGGAAGCTCACAGTCCCGGGGGCTCAGCCTTCTGCTCTCCGATCCTACTCCCCAGGCCAGGGGAGAGCTGTGAAGAGGGAGCCCCTGGGACCCCCTCATCTCTGCCTTCCCTCTGCCTCCCTCCCGCCCACCTGCAAGGATTCCACGACAGACAGAGGTGTGGGGTGGGGGTCCCAGGCCCTTTGTGCAAGTGGCAGAGGCTGGCAGGGAGGCCTGAGGGAGAGCGAGGGTCCTGTGCAGCAGGCTGAGTCTTGGGGGCAATCCTGAGGTGCCCCAACCCTCTAGGAGACAGTGGCCTTGCAGAGGGAAGTGAGGCCAAATCCCCAGCAGACAGACAAGGGGAGCTGTCTGCAGAAGTGGCCTCCCTCGGGATGGTGGGTACAAAAGCTGGGTGGCCGGGTGCGTTCCCGGGGTGGGTGGACTCTGACCCAAGAGAGCCAGGTGCTGCTCAGCGGCGCTGGGCTCTGGCTGAACAGAGACAAGCAGAGGCACAGCAGTCCTTGGGGAATCTAAAAAGGATGTGGAGGCAGAACGTGGCCCAGCACAGTCACCCTCTCTGGGTCCCCAGGCGGCCCAGTAGATGCTCTTATGCAGGTGGGGCTGGGAAGAAATACGTGCAGCCAACTGTTCTTGCTCAACTGGTACCTGAAGGTAAGTAAGGGGGGCTTTAGGGACCACAGGAAACTATTCTGGTGCGGATGAGGGGGTTTACACCAAGGAAACGGCGTCCCCACCCCACAGCCCAGAGCGAAGGTGTGAATGGAGGAGGTGGCTTGGGTGGAGCCCACGTCCCTCCAGTGTAGCCTGGTGTTGGAGCTGGGGTCTGGGCCAGGCCACGGGGGCTGGGGGGAGGCAGAGCTCCCACGAAATGCCAATGACCTGTGCCTTCGGACCAGGCTCCAGAAGCCGCGTCTCCTCCTCAGGCTCCTGGGGGACATGTTGTGTCCAGTCCTTTCAAGGCCAGGTCCTGGCCTAGTCCTGGAGCCGGACGGCAGGCAAGGCCAGCACATGCCCAGCTGGGCTGCCACAGCTGCGGCGGGAGAAGGAAGGGCAAGTGACAAGGCCACCCGCCTCAGAGCACACGGCTGAGGGGACGTGGGAAACATGTGTGCACCTGCAACCCCTGTCTGTCACAGGACAGGAAGGCCCTGCCTGTCTGCGCCAAGGGCAAAGGCCGCTCTGCTCCCAGGGGTGTGGCTGGTCTCTGGGAAAGGAGGTTGCCTCAGAGCTACGACTTCCTGTGACCCAACGACCCAGGGTCTCCTTTGATGCCACAGCCAAGGGACTGCTGAGCACGCTGTGTGCTGTGTGAACATAAAAATCCCCTGCAGACAATTCCGCTGGCTTCCCTGAGCTCTGCGAGCACAAATCCTCCTTTCTAGCTGTCAGCAGATTCCCACTCCAGCTGGGCCGGAACTGAGGAGTCGGAAGCAGGGATGGCCCAGACGGAGCGACGCTCAGGGCTTGGCAGGGGGCATCCCGAGCCCAGGCCCTGGGCCTACAGGGCAGGCGGGCCACCTGATCAGGGCTGGACTGCGTCTCCTGCCCCGCTGGGGCTGCTTCTGCAGGCATGCGTGGGTCCCCGGCTCAGCTGTGCCTGACTGCTTCATGCAAAGCCCGGAGCCCAAGCTGCTCATGTCCTGAACTGAGATGACCCAAAAGGGGCCAGCCAAGTGGCCGGGACTGTCAGCGAAAGGAGGTCACTGCTCCGAGCTCTGTGCGGGGGAGGATGGAAGAACACTCATCGGAAGCAGTCACCCCTGAAGCTGCGGGGCCTCTGGACCCTGAGTGAGGACAGTCTCACACTGCACGCTGTCGTCTGCAGCAAGAACAGCGGCGAGCGGCTGAGCAGTGGCCTTGTCACCCCCTTCACAGGCCAGGCTGGATATGCGGGCACCCGAGGGAAGGTGCCAGAATCTCTTGCTCTCATCATAAAATGCTGGCCTAACACATGGGCTGCTTTCATGCTCTTTATCTTCCCAGACTCGTACAACAAAAGCCAGCGCCTTCTCATTTCGCTTCTGTCCTCAATGGTGGAATAACTAATGACACTGAAAATCTAACAGTGGTGTGTCTTCCCCAGGAAACCTGGCCCCCCAGCTAGAGGAGAACCTCACCGTGTGACCCAGGCCACCCGCCGTACCTGTGGTCTGATCCACAAGGACCCGGGAGTTGATGATGCGCCCGAACCGAGAGAACATGTCCTCCACGTCCTTCTGGGTCATGGTCCTCGGGAGTCCGCTGATGTACAAGTTGGCGTCTTTGATGACCTCTGAGCTTGGGCGAGCGTACGACACCTTAAAACAAAACCGCTTGCTGGAGTCTGGGCAAGTGCGTGGGCCGAGCATCGAGGGAGGGTGTCAAACTTTCGGGTGAGAAAAAGCTGCCCTATGGTAGGAAATCACACACAGGACTATTTGTCCTCCTCGGGACATCTATCGCTCGCAGCAGCGCGTGTTGGCAGCTCACAGCGGCCGGGGAGAGAGCTGGGCACTCGGCAGCGTCTTCTCGCCCAGCCCTCCCAGCCCCTGGCGAGGGGCCATGGGCCGAGTTCCCGATCTCAGGGAGCGCACGACACATCCTGTGCCTGCACGGCACAAGGTGGGCCTGGCAAATCTGCCGATGAGCAAGTGCCTTCCTATCCAGGGATGGTAAGACACCGAGCACTCAAGATCATGAAGAGTTTAACGGCAGGAACGGACCACCAGCCTCTGAGCTGAACATGCGCCGCCACAGCCAGACTGTAAGACCTCCCTGGCAGGTGAGTGGAAGTTCGGGTTCCCAGCCCACTCTGCAGAATGGAACTCGGGAGGCCCAGCCGCAGCCTCGGGACCTGGAGTGCACAGGCACACAAGTGGCTCTGAGCTCAGATGAGCCGAGGAAGCGCTGCCACTGAGCAGGTCCCAGGAGAGACCCTTCTGGGTGCCTGAGTGAATCAGAGGGGCAGCTTCCTCGGGGGGGACGGGGTGGGAGGATCTGGCAGGTCCAAAGGCTCAGGTAGGACAGTCGCATTCCAAGTGGCTTCAGGTGGACACTGGCAGGCACGCGTCTCAGGAACAAGAGCTAACTTGCCAGGTCTGCGGGTAAGGGGTGGTGGGCACAGCAGCTGCAGGCTGCTGCAGGAAGCAGGTTGGGGGTGCGGCCGGGACAGCAGGAGGTGGCATATTCCAAAGGAGGGCTCAGTGGGGAGTGAAGGGTGAGAAAACATAAGGTTTGCCTGTGGGAGGAGCTGTCCCAGATCACGGGAGCCTGAAGACTGACACTTGGGGATGGGAGGTGGGGCCCCGGGCCGACAAAAGGAGGGTAGGTGGCAGCAGGTTGACAAGAACAAGAAGGCAGAGGAAAGCTGCCCTGTGAGACCTGGAGGACTCACCGACTCAGCCCAGGAGTCAGCACAGCCCTTGCACTGTGAGTGACACTGCCGACGCTCTGCCCAAGACACCCCCTCCGGTCGCTCCACAGCTCCGTCTCTTCCCTCAAGTCAACATGAAGTCTCCCACAGAACACGTCACCTCCCCCCAAGCACCTCCGTGACACTTACCTCTGCCACACGTGGCTTCCATATTCCCACTTATTGTTTGCATGCGTGCACACGGCTCCATGAGGGCGCGGGATTTGTCTGCATTGTTCACTGTCCAGCACACAGTAGGTGCTCAATAAACATTTGCTACGTGAGTGTTGAATGAACTGGCTGGGATGGGGCATGAAGGGAGACCTGGGCAGGGAGGCCGGGGGGACGAGACAGCCGCCACTGCAGGAAGCCGGGAGCGGGCAGGAGGGCCGGGCTCGGCACGGGATGGAAACATCGCGGCCAGGAGAGGAGACAGGCCCCTGTGTAAGTGCACTGCATGGGGACCCTCCCTTCACGGAGGGGGCTGAGAAGGCCATGAGCCACCAGCATAAGGCTGTGGACCGGCACCACATTGCATGCATCTGACCCGCAATGCCTTGACTCCGAGCAGACGGGAGCCCCCTCCGATGCTCTGACAGCATCGTGCTGACGATGACTTCGGCAGCGACGGGACCAAGGGGGCCGCGCATCCAGGCCAGGGCTCGGCACACACTCCACCCGGGACAGGCATGACCGAGGAGTGAGTGCAGCCTCTCACCTTAATGGTCTTTGACTGGAGCCGCAGGCCGTTCAGCGTGTTTACTGCTCTCTCGGCGTCCTTTGCAGTCACGTAGTTCACAAAGCCATAGCCCAAGCTGTGTCCTGTGCCGGGGAAGAGGTGGACATCGGTAAACCGACCGAGAGCGAGCGAGAGCGCCCGGGGGACGAACAGGAAGATGTCCCGCTGGGCTCACAAGGGCGAGTCAGCAAAGACAACGAAGACAATGCACTGAAACGCTGGAGGCACGGCCGCCAGGTAGCGGGGCTAGAGACGGTGCTGACAAGCCATACGATGGTTTATTTGTCACATTCTCCGCAATGAACAAATGCTACTTTTGTAACTAAAAAAAAGTCATCTATAAACAAACACTGTGATACTTGACAGCACCCTGGGGACCCCATCACTGAAGCAATGACAATGAACGGTCCCACTGGTGGTGGGCGCTCTGTGGGGCTCCAAGGGGGCCTTGTAGGGGTACGAGGAGGATGGTCGCAGTGAGGAGGAAGACCGGCAGGTGGGGAGAGCCTCGTGACGACCAGCTGCCTGTGTGTAGGCATTGCTCTGCCACTTGCGTCCCCAGAGCGGGAAGGCTTGCTGGGCTCCGGCGCCACCCAGCGTCAGTTCCCCTTCCTTTCCTGAATCTGTGACCCAGCTGGGGAGCACAAGGAGAAGCCCGAGCCGAGAGAAGTTCCCGCCCTCACAGCCTAGCCAGGCTTCCAGGGCTCCCCAGGGCAGCAGCCTCCACTGTGACAGCATCATCAGCTACAGTCTGGGGGAGCCTTAGCAGATGCGAAAACCTGAGTTCTTCCCAAAGACATCCAGGGCGACAGGCAGGGTGTCCCCATCCCTGTGTGTGAAAAGTGCAGAAGCGGTGGGAGCGACCACCCACTGGACACATGGGAGGGACGCAGCCCAGCAGGGGAGGGGCTGTGGGGTCTCAGAGGGAAGCATCGGCGGGGGGTCGGAGGTGGAAGGAGCCTTACAGAGGCCTCGTCAAACACTTTCACTGCAGGAGGAGCAGGGGGAGGCTTGGAGAACAATCAACACCCACACCCACACCCACACCCACGTTGGTGGGCACTGCTCTGCGCACAGAGTGAGCGAGCGGTGAGCGAGACAAAGGCCCCCCGCACGGAGCTTTGAACCACTCCTCTGGGTGGCGGAGGGCGACAACGAGCAGGTGAGAAACAAGAGCAGGCCTTGAGCCACACTGAACACTGGCTCAGCCCACGGTGCCAGCCACACCCAGGCCCTCTGGCTGAAGATGAGACCTGGAACCCGGGGGAAAGCCTAACCCAGTTTTGCCACTTAAAAAAAAATAAATCAATACACTTTATTTGTTGGATTTAAAGAAAAATGACAAAGATAACACAAAGCGTTCCCATAAACCCCACACCAGTCTCCCCATTAGTAACATCTTAGACTACGATGCTGCTTTTGTTACAACTAACGAACCAGCACTGATAGATTATCAACTACAGTCCATACTTGATTCAAATGACCTTAGCTTCCCCCAATGTCCTTTTCTGTCCCAGGATGCCACCCAGGACCCCGCGTGACATTTAGCTGTCATGTCTCCTTAGGCTCCGCTGGGCTGGGTCAGTTTCTCAGACTTGCCTTGTTTTCGATGACCTTGACAGCAAGGAGGTGGCTTGGGTGGGAATTTCATAGAATCTCCCTCAATCTGGGCCTGCCAGATGTTTTGCTCGCGGTTAGACCTGGGAGACAGGTTTGGGGAGGACCCTCTTCTCATGACATCACATCAGGGGTGCATGCACGGGCCTTACCATGCTCAGGCTGACCTGACCGCGGGCTGACGCAGCGGGTCGCCAGGTTTCTGGGGTCATGTTTCCCCACCCCTTCCGTCCGGAGCCTTTGGAGGGAGTCCCTCTGCGCAGCCCATGCTTAAGGAGGCCTTGAGGAGTTGGCTCTCCCTCCTTCAGGCGCAGCAGCTAGAGATTATCTGCAATTCTGCACGGGCCATTTTCTTCTTTTAAAAAAAACCTGACCCTCCAAACCCAAATTTCTAACAAAGCTCCACGGGTCTCAGAGACTCCAGTCCTGAGCTGTAGACAGTGGGGACCCCCGGAGGAGCAGTGCCATGGGGTCCAGGGCTCATCCAGCAGGAGGGTCAGACTCGCAGCTCGGAAAATGACAGTGGGCTCCAGGTCGGGACCCTCAGGGTCCCTGCAGATGGGCCAAGCAGCAATATGAAGCTGAGAAAGCAGACTGCCCGCGGCACGATTCCCGACCCAGCTCCAGCCTCCCAGCCCCGCCCTCCTAGGCCCAGGCCCTATGACTCCTCTGCCTCTCTGGCTGGCACCAGTGCACTTGGGTCTCCTTGTCTTTCTGCTCCGCCCACAAAGCCAAGCCCAACTGGGACCACCTGTCTCACTGGGGACCTAAGCGCCGCTGGGAAAAGCAGATGCCGACGAGGACCCGGGCCCAGGCCCTGTGCCATGTCTTCAGCCGCAGCCGGTTCCCCTCAGCTTATCAACACGGCCCTGCCCAGCCCCAGTTCCCAGTTCCTCACCACTCTGGTGCTTGGGGCCCCAGCTGGCCTCCTGGGGTGGTCACTGCTGACTGCCAGCACCCTCCTCACCAAGGCTGCCCACGCCCTCGAGGGCCACCCCACTGACAGTCTCAGGCTGCTGCCCCTGAGCTCTCAGCACTGGGCACTGCTGACTGGCTGAGATGTTGCCTCCTCCAGGATGTGACAAAATGCCAGGTTTTCTTTCTCTCCAGGTTTTCCTTCTCAACGGTCCCTCCTCAGGCTCCTCGTCCTCTGCCTATTCCATCGAGAAAGTCCCCAAGTTTCTGCCTTTGGCCCTTGTATCCGTGATACACTCTTCCAGGGTGACCTCCTTGATCACCAGTAGCTGCCAATGGCACCTAGGAAGTCACACACTCCAGATGGCCACTGTCTCTTTCCCAGCCCTGCTGCCCCTCCTGTCCTCCCCAGGGAGCCGACGCGTATTAACTGAGCACGTACTGCATGCCAGGCCCTGGGCTTGGCTGGCTAAGGCTTTCATGGGGATCAGGAAGGACGGCGGTTGTGCCTTAACGAAACATACATCCCACGGGGCAAGGCGGACACACCAGCAAGAAACAACGAATAAAGCTGGCGGACAGGCGCTATGAGGAGTCTCCGCTGTGGCGTGAGAGGGACTGACAGACGGGCTCTTGGTAGGCAGGGTCAGGAGCGCCCTCTGAGGAGGAGAGATGTGAAGTATGAGCTCGGGATGGCCAGGGTGAGCATTCCGGACAGAAGAGCACGTGCCAAGTCTCTGAGGGGGAGAGGCCTCTGGTGTGTTCCAGGAAATGAAGGGTGGTCAGCGCGGCTGAACGAGATGAGCCAGGGGACCACCCCGGAGGGGACTGCCGGGCAGAGAGCGGACACGGTGGGCCCGAGGCTGGTGCAGAGCCCTGGGGAAGCCTGTGAGCGGGACCAGGGCAGGGGACGGCATGCACCAGGGAACAACCGGCAGAAGAAAGACCCACCAAGGGGACCTCTGGATGGGCCAACGTGGGAGGGAGCTCCAGAGGGGCCCAAGTTCCCTACAGCACCAGGCAGCAGCTGTGCACACCCCCATTCCTGGGGCTGGCTCTGTCCCTCAGAGTCTGTTGTCCCCTGAGGTGGGCACCCGATGGTGGCCAGAGGGAAGGCAGGTGAGGCACGAACGGCAGCCCCAAGTTTTCACCCACCAGATGGGGCCGTGGACTAAAGTGCTAACACGTGGCTGAGCGCCCAACTCCATCCTCGCCATCACTAGACACCAATGGCTCTCCAACTCGGCTGCTTGCTAGCATCACAGGGCGGCCTCTGAAAACTATCATGGCCCGGCCACATCCCGGACCAATTAAAGTGCACTGAGGGTCGGGTGGCAGGAGTGGGGTGGCTTCCAAGGTCCAGCCCGGGTTGAGAGCTGCTGCCGGAAGTACACGAGGAGAGGAGGGTCTGCCGGTCGGTGGTCAGAGCAGGTGCCTGGCAGAGGGCCCTCACCTCCCAAAGCAGCCTCTAAGCCACGGTTTCTCCGCATTTCCCTTTCTCCAGGCTGGGGCAATGACTCAGGGCCCAGGATGTCAGGCAGGGGTGGGATTGTGCATCTCTAAGCTCCTTCCAGATGATTCTCCTGCCCCCTCCCCTGTAGGGGCGATGGAAGATCAGCCCTGAAAGAGGGAGGTTGGGGGTCTGGTGGGGGGTAGAGCGTGGATCCCGCCCAGGCTGCTGGGGCTGAGGAAGGTCGGGCCTGCCTGGAGTGGGGGCTGGGGTGTAGGGGGCAGCCAGAGCCCCAGATGGGAGATGGGGTAGAGGGGGAGGGGTGCGAGACGAAGGAGGAAGGCAGCAGAAGTGAAAGGCATCAAGGATGAGCAAACCCGGGGCTGAGGCCTAGGGCTGTCCAGAGGCGGCGCAACCCCCAGCTCTCACTTCCCCACCCTGGAGAGCGACCCCCACCCGCCCTTCTGGCCACAGAGCAGTGCTTCTCAGTCCCGGTTCTCTGACTTGCCTGGGCATCGCCCTCCCGCTGGGAAGGTAAAACCAGATGTTCCAACACCCCAGGCTGACTGATGCCGTGGGCCTGGGTGGGGCCTGGGTCTTGCGTTTCTGCTGCTCCCCAGCTGCTGCTGTTGGTCAGGGCCGGCGCCCCGAGAGGCGCTGGCTGGAGAACACTGAGGCTGCCTGGGCGCCGAGCAGCCCTCACGCGGTGTCAGGCGACCCCTGGGCGAACGCGGGCCAGTGCTCCTGCATCTCCAAATATATTCTTCTCTCTTTAGGGTTAAGACCAAGAGATGACTCCAGGGCAGACCAGAGCAGCCAGCTGTAATGTTTTAATACCTTCAAGGGGAGGACGCAGGAGAATCATCTGGAAGGAGCTCAGAAATGCACACTTCCACCCCTGCCCGACAGCCTGGCTGCGCAGGGCCCTGGGGGCTGCGTCACTGCTCAGCGTGGCCTGTGGAAATGTGGAGGGACAGGAGCCTGCTTCTCTGACTGGGGTACAGGGCTGAGGGAGGGGAGCGCCCCACGGACAAGGCGCTCCTCTGCCATGTGGGAGGGGAGGCGCAGCGGGTGCTTCCTTCAAAGGTCTGTGGGGGCTCAAGAGAAGACTTCACCGGGGGAGAGATGGGCCTGGCGGACAAGTGAATGAATCAGGCGATGAATGAGAAACAGGAAGGAGTTTGGGCAAAGGAGAAGAAAGGGACTTTATAAAAAAAGTACAAAAAGCCAGTAAACCTGTGGAAACAGATGAAGATGAACTTTACTAGAAATGCGAATCATCATCAGGATCAGGTGTCATTTTCCACCCAGGCTGGCCAAGATGAGAAATCTCGCCAGGCCTAGGGGAAGGCAGGGCCAGGCGGAAGGGCATGGAAAGGGTGGAAGGGCATGGAAACGGGAGACCCCCTGGAGGGCAGCTGGAGATGCGGCTCAGGAGCTTTTAAAGGTACACGCTCTCCCATCTGCTGGTTCACTTATAGGGAGATTTTCCACAGAAGTAACAGCAAGCAAAGATTTGTGCCAGGATATTTATCTCACTAGGGCTTATGAATATGGGAAAGTGGTTACAACCTATTGAAGACTCAGAACCTCGACATGGGCCAGCCCTGGTGGCCTAGTGGTTAAGTTCAGTGTGCTCTGCTTCAGTGGCCTTGGCAGTGTTCCTGGGCGTGGACCTACACCACTCATCTGTCAGTGGCCATGCTGTGGTGGCAGCTTATATACAAAAAGAGGGAAGGTTGGTAGCGGATGTTAGCTCAGGGCGAATCTTCCTCAGGGAAAAAAAAAACCTCCACACAACAGAATACTATGTCACCGTTATGATGATGAGAAAGCTGTTGTCAGTGATGGAGAAAAATGGTCACAGATACAGGAAGAAACATTTCCCGCACAGCTTGGGTGGGGCGAACCCATTTTTGTAAAAGCACATGATTGCTTACAACCATGAATATGCAAAGAAAAAAGCCTGGAAGGACACGAACCGTGGTGAAATTGCGGGAAATCTGAACTTTCCTTCCTGCTTATCTCATATGAAATTTCTTATTTTTAAGGAACAAAGGTGATTCACATTATGAACAAAAAAGTGGTCAGGCTGGCTAGGTGTGGAAGGGCATTCCCGCAGAGGGAACAGTATCTGCGAAATCACAGGAGTGGAGAGCAGGGCATGTCTGGGAAACGACAAGCAGCTCAGTCCAGCCCCTGGAGGGTGAGTGGGAGTGCAGCGGCTGGAGGGAGGGGACAGTCCCCAGGAGACCTGGGTACACAGACAGCGGTATGGGCTTTATCCTGACCAGAGATGCATGGCAATGCGACAGAGCTGAGCAAATGGGCTGGAGGCTGGGGACTGAGTGGCCAGCATGACAGTCCGGGAGGGCGGAGGCTGGCTCCTGGTCCCCCGTGGGCCATATGGCATCTGGAGAGGGACCAGACAGCAGGACAGAGAGCAGGGCAGAGCTGCACAGTAAGGCTGGCTAGTGATTGTGGATGGAACAGGCAGCAACAAATGCACGTCCCCAATGCGGGGGCTGGGGCCGGGATGGCCGGAAACACTCTGAATCTTGAGGCCAGCATGTCACACATTTCTGGCATCCCAGCCACTACCCAGGCCCTCATTCCTCCTGTTGCCAGTGCCTGGCCCATGGTCGGCACTCAATAACTATTTGCTGAGTAAATCAATGTCCAAGCTGATCTGCATTTTCCTCCAATCCCTACATTCATTCACTCACTCATTCAACAAACACTGATTATAGCCACATCTAGGGGATACAACAGGGCCTCTGTCTCTGAGAACCATATAGACCTACTGGACTAAAAAGTTCCAACTTCAGTGCAGTGTAGAAACCCAGGTCAGGTCTGCCAGTTGCTATGGGAACCAGGAAGAGAAGCATCTAACACTGACCAGGTCAGGCCAAGGAAGGCTCCTAAAGCAAGCGGGCCTGGGCACTGGAGGCTTCTGAAGCAGATGAGTGACAGGGTCACCTCTGGAGGGTTAGAGACTCCTCCCGTGGTGAAGAGAGCAGTCTGGAGGGAGCACAGGCGGCCAGTTAAGAGGCTAGAGCGCTGTGCAGGCAGAAGACGATGTGGCCTGGTCTAGGATGGTGGCAGGGGACATGGAGGAAAAGGGATGGAAGCATCCAGAAGGATGAATGCCAGGGACACACGGCAGAGGTCATGCTCTGATTTCTGACTGGAGCCACAGAGTGCACAGTGGTGCCATCTGCGAGGATGGGGCTGCTGGGAAACAAGTGGCTGGCTCGTGGGAGAGTCAAGGTCAGTTTGGAAAACATTGCATTTGGGGGCTGAGGAGTCGCAGGAGGGCTGGCTGGAGGAGAGGCGGCAAACCGAGGGTAACTGTAAGCGGTGGTGCTGCATCCGCTCACCCCTGTCTAGGCTGAGGAAGGAGGGGCCTGGAATAACCACGAGGACCGCCTAAGTCAATGGCTGGGAAGGCGCTGCAAGAGAGGCAGAGCGAGGCCTCTGAGGTGGGAGAAAGCCAGGGAGGGTGGTTCATGGAAGCCACGGGAAGGAAGCTTCTAGAAGGAAGATAAGAGAGTCGATTTGACAGCTCTGCGAATGGCAGGAGAGGAAGGACAAGAGCTAGAGCAGTGGTTCTCCCTGAGGGGTGATTCTGTCCCCCAGGGGACACTTGGCAACGTCTGGGGACATTTTCTGGTTTTCACAACTCGGAAGGTGCCATTGGCATCTAGTGGGTGGAGGCCAGGGGTGTTGCTGCTCCATCCTACAACACACAGGACACGCCCCACCAAAGATTAGCCAGCCCCAAATGTCAACAGTGCTCCAGTGGAGAAACCCTGAGCTAGAGGAAGTCGGGAGTCTCGGCAAGGATTCTTTACAGAGACTGGAGCATGTCTGAACGCTGGCGGGGCCATCTCGGAGAGACCCAGAGAAGTGGGTACTTGCATAGCTTGAGGTTCCTAGGACGCCAAGAAGGGAAGGGATCCAGGACAGAGGTGGAGATGGCTGTTATTTCCCTGTGAAGTAGCAGGCGGTCATCAGCTGAGAGCGAAGGGGGCCTGAGGGAGAAAAGGCACAGAAAAGGTTGTTGTAGGGCCGGGGAGAGCCCGGGCTGCGAGCTGAGCTTGGCTGGGGAGCTGACGCGACGGGACACCTGCCAGGATGTGCGACCCTCTCTGGGGAGGGCAGCCTGAGCTCGGCCAGGAGACAGCAGTTGGACGAACGCATCCACAATCCAGGGTCCACCAGGGCAGTGGACTAAAGGACAAAGGGGCGGTGAAACGTAAGGCTGTGGCCCCAGGACCAGCCAGCGAAGCTTCTAGACACCGGTGGCAGGAGGGAAAAAGAGAGAAGGCAGTAAGCTTGTCACAAAACTACATTCACTAAATTTAAGAACTGCTAGCAAGATGCCGAGCTGAAATGTGAGGCCAGGCCCACCTACTCCACAACTCCTGGTGCGCCACGCTTATCCTGCCCGAAGATAAGAAAAAGTTTGTTTCTGAACTGAAATAATTTCCAAATGACACTTTCGTTGCTTTTACAGGTTCTCAAAACCAGTCGTCTCCCGGCCAATCTCCCCAATCCAGGTGTTCCTGTCAACAGAGCTCACATTCCTCTGACAATCACAACAAGTGAACAGACAAAGACTCGGGTACCGTGAGAATGCCTGCGAACCCAGACTGCAATGCTCAGGAAGATCGAGGGTGCTGAAAATTCCCTTCCGCCAGAACGTAAAAGGACAAAGGCAAGACTTGTTAGCAGCACCGGAGAATTTCAAAACCCCTCTGAACAAGGCCTCTCTTATTCAGGATAGTCTCCCAGAACAGGAGAGAGAGAGTGGCTTCGAGAACATTCTAACGCTGCTCAATTTTGTGTATGATTGCAAGTCCCTCTTTAGAAGACGTTTATGAAATCAGGCTCTCAGAATTGGAAGGGTCCCTAAAAGACTTCTGAGTTCAAAGCCGCCCTCAGATGAACGAATCCCTGTACAGCCTCCACAGGGGTCGTCCCAGGATAGGCACCTTCACGCGGCTGGCAAAGGCCAAGGCGACAAGCAGGACAACGGGTACAGGGGTTCAATATATTACTCTACTTTTATGCCAATTTGAATCGTATAAGATATTATTGTATTTCCACACTAAAAATCATTTTTTACTCTTAAACGATTTTTCAGGGTAGGGAGTCACAGACCCACAGCCCAGGGTGGCAGCCAGAGCCCTCCCAGGGGACTGTCCTTTCCTCAGCGCACCAGGGCAGACAGGAGGAGGGGTGGCAGACGACCCGGCCTTCCCATGTTTCCCTCCAGAGTCCTGGAAGCATGGCTCTCAGGACGGGGCCACTCTGTGCGGAGGGCCTTACTGGGTACTGGGCTCTGCAAACCCCTATGAGGCAGGCAGCACCAGGATGTAGGAGCCACCAGCCCACTTTATGGATGGGGACACTGAGGCTTGGAGGTCACACTTCGAGGGAGTGGGAGAGCGGGGCTTGGAGCTGGCCTGCCAACCCCACAGCCCGCCTGCTGACCCGCTCCCCGCCCCGCTGAGTCCAAGCGTGCTGCGTTTCACATGTTCAAGGTCATGGCCTGAGCATAGTCAGCTCGGCCCAAAGCTAAGGAGCGGCTGCCGGTGGGGTCCCAGCGCTCTGCGGTGAGCCTGGGGAGACAGACAGGGACGGGCCTGCCTGGGCTTGCCCCGGGCGGGGCACTGGCCAGAGTCCCTTCCACACGTGGGGCCAGGCCAGGCCAGGCTGTCCTTCTTTGGTCCCTTCCAGCTCTCAGAGCCGTCCCCGTTTCTGGCATCTCCTCACTTTCCCTCCTCTCCCACCGTCTTCCTCTGTATGTGCCCTCGGTCTTACAGTGAATTTTCCCTCTTTTGGGAACCTATGTCCACTCCTACACCAAGGTGGTGGCAGAACAGAGCTTGAGATAAAAGTGAAACTCCACAGCCATCACCTCCAGGCTGCGGCCCTTCTGCCCCGAGGGACACTGCGGTCACAGGCCGAGAGGACAGAGCCTCGCAGACGGCCACGGGAGCCCCTTGACCCACACGGCCGGTGTCTTTACCTGCCACTTTGTCCCGAATAAGCTTTGCAGATTCAACTTCCCCAATACTGCTGAAGAGACTTCGTAACTCATCCTGGGTCATGTTCTGAGGGAGGTAGTTGACAATTAAATTCGTTCTCCCGATGTCATCCCTGCAGTCTTCGGCCATGTGGTCTTCATAACCATTAGACATCGTATTTTCAAAAAATCTGCAGAGGAAGAGAAAAGCAGGTACATTCCAGATGTTCACACTGCAGCCTATTAAGGCAAGACGAACGGCTGCCTTAGCACTTAGATGGTTCTCTTTCCAACACTACCAGTTCAACTTATGTCCACACGAGAACCTGCATGTGGAGGCTGCAAGCAGCTTTACTCGGAGATGCCCCCAGCCTGGAAGCAACCAAGACGCCCTTCAGTGGGCGACTGGAGAAACAGTCTCCCCTCGTCTGGTCCATCCACACAATGGAGTGTTATTCAGTGATAAAAAGAAATGAGCTATGAGGCCACACAGACAGGAAGGCATCTTAAACGCACGGCACTAAGTGAAAGAGAATAGATTGAAAGGCTACACACGGTATGATCCCAATTATACGACATTGTGGAAAGGGCAAAAACTACAGAGACAGCACAAAGGTCAGTGGCTGCCAGAGGTTGGTGGAGGAAGGAAGAAGAGCTGGAGCACAGAGGATTTTTAGGGCAGTGAAACTGGTCTGTGTGATGCTGTGTTAGTGGATCCACGTCGTTATACATTGTACGTTACCCATTACACATCACCCAACCCACAGAGGTATCAACACACAGAGTGAGGCCTAAAGCAAACTGTGGGCTTTAGCTAAGGTCCATCAATACTAGCTCACGGATTACAACAAAACACCACACTCATGCCACCCCATGAAGAATAGGAGAAACTTCGTGTTGGGGGAAAAGGCCTATGGCACACTTTCTTCCCCACTTTTCTGTAAACCCAAAACTGCTCTAAAAAATAAAGTCTAGGGCCTGGTCCTGTGGCCTAGTGGTTAAGTTTGGCACGCTCCACTTTGGTGACCTGGGTTCGGTTCCCAGGCGTGGACCTACACCACCTCTCTGTGGGCACGCTGTGGTGGGGACCCACATACAAAATAGAGGAAGACTGGCCCAGATGTTAGCTCAGGGCGAATCTTCCTCACCAAAAAAAAATAAATAAAGTCTCTTAAAAACAAAACAACTCTAAGTTCAACCATTCTCACTGACTAGAGGGCTTCGAAGAGACCTGCAGACAATTCCAGCAGCAGAATTCAAACTCCTGTAAAAAGTGTGGGTCCTCTCTCTCTCTCTCGTACACAGAAATTTCTGACTCTTTCTCTCGTCTCCCCTTCTGTTACCAATGCAGCTGGACACTGAGGAGCCTGTGGTGTGTGCCTGAGCACCTCAACCAACCAGACCCCGTCTGTCCCGGAGCAGGCAGGCAACGGACCTTTGCACCCCGTGTCCCAAAGGCCATAGCGACTGAACTGGGAGGGAGGTGAGGCTCTCTCTACCAGCTGGAGGAAGCTGGTCTCTAAAGTTTGCAGCTTTGGAATGCCTGCAGGCGCCTGCAGAAGTCTGCACTTGAGTGACCAGCGTCAGACAACACCGATGGCTTCACAGCAGTCCAGATCAGTGCAGCCGAGAGCACCGCCTGTGCTTCTGAAGGCACAACTCACACTGGGTTTGCTCACACGCACAGCCGTGCGGCTGCCTCTTCTCAAATGGCCCCTGCCCCGGCCTCTAAATCCACCGGTGCTCACCCCCGTGGGGCTGAACGATATCGCTGAGGAAAAGACCCTGCTGCCCATCGGCCCAGAGGTCTCAGGGCCAGCCCACTCCTTGCTCGGGATGCCGGCTGCCCAGCTCTTCTCTCATGCTTGAAAACCCAGTGCCCACTGTCAGGAGCAGTCAGCCTCCTGTAAAAAGCCAGCAGTTACATAAAAACCCGAACACGTCTCCTGCCCAGCGAACCCCCCCAAGCCCCGAACCGCCACCGAGAGGGGAACTAGGTATGGTTGACCATTGCCTGCTGGAAACGCTTCAGGCCTCCTCTGCCGTTCTACTCTCTAACTTGTTTGGGACCGTACGCAATGTGCAAAATTAGTCTCATCTCCTAGCATTTCCCAAACTTTTTGGGAAACGTTCCATGCGCCCTGCTCTTTATAAAATAGGCTATGGCGTCAAAAGCCATAAAAGAAAGATTAGAAAGTCAGACTTCACAAGATTAAAAGCTTCTGCTGGCAAAAGGCCGCATAAAGAGATAAGCAGCAGACGAGTAGAAAACACTTGCTCCCTGTTATATTATTTAGATCGAAGCTTCTGCCCGCTGGGGGATACTGGGCAGTGTCTGGACACATTTTTGCTTATCACAACCGGGGGTGGTGGTGTGCCACTGGCATCTGGTGGGTGGAGGCCAGGGATGCTGTCGAACATTCCACAAGACACAGGACAACCCCCACGACCAAGAATTATCCAGCCCAAAACGTCAGCACTGGGAGGCTGAGAAAACTTGATTTAGGGCATCTGCAAATTAATAAGAGAAAAATGACATCTCACTAACAGAGAAGCAGACAAGGGATATGAGCTGTAATTAATAGACGCCGGCAATTCAAATGGCTAAGAAACCATGAAAAGAAGCTCAACTTCACGAACAATGAGGACAACGTGAAATAAAAAGAGACGCCACTCCCTGCCTGTCAGAGGGAATACAATCCAGGACGGATAAACTCCAGGGTGAGGGGTAAGAGAGAAACAAGCCCTGTACACCAGATCCGAGGGTGACAGGGTACCACCTTTTAGGAGAACTTGGCAGTGGCTACCAACATTTGTTGGTGGTGTTAGTAGCTTAAAATGACAAATGATCATCATTTCTCACAGCTCTATGGGTCGGCTGAGTGGCTCTTCCGGTCTAGGCTGGCTTTGCTGAATCCAGAGATTGGCAGGTGGCTATCTAGGCTGGGGCAGGACGGTCTATGACGGTCTTATTCACAGGCCTGTGACTGGCAGGCTGGGTGGCCGGGGACCCTCAGCTGAGGGAGGACAGGCCACCACGTGGCCTTTCATCCTCTAGAAGCTTGTCCCGGGTTTCTTCACACCGTGGTTCAGGGTTCCAAAGAGCAGAAAGAGAAGGCAAGGCCCAATGCTTGGCAGCTACTAACATCTTTAACATGAATGCTCCCCTCTCGCTCAGCGCTGTAGGAATCTGTTCTGCAGAAACCATCACACACGTGTAGCGGAAGGTGTGAGAGGAACACACGACCCCATGGCTGGTGAAATAACGCCCTGGGTCGAATCGAAATCTGCACTGGGGGGATGGTTAAATACACACCAACGTTCAGGAGCGAGCACGGGACCACCAGCATTACAGGGTTTAAGGATGAGAAACTCCGAGTCTGTTAAGCTGTCTGTAGCCGTGAGACCTTCCAATAGATCATTATCTCAAAAACCAACCAACCAACCAACCAAAACATCTGCTGACGCCTGAACCAAAGCGCAAAGGTTAAGTCTGAGGAACTAAACGCACACTGAGGTTTGCCCGAAAGGCAATTCGGACATTTCCCACCTGCCTCCCTCTTTTTTCTTGATCCCTCCCTCTCTTCACCCTGCTTCTGAGTTAGGCATCTACTCTTCTGCCTTCTCCCCTCGCCTGCTGTCACGGATGACGAACTGGGCAATAATTACCCCACTCTCATTATCCAGAGTGGGGTGCCTGGTAACAAGTTAACTTTCTAAAACAAGGGTCAGCGAAGCATGGCCTGTGGCCAAATTCGGCCCCCTGCCTGTTTTTTTTTTTTAAATCAACAAAAAGGTTTATTTTAGCGTGAATGACCTTACATTGTGACATGAGCACCGTTTACATTTTATGATATTGCTTACACTAACAAAGACTCAAATCTACACGACGATAAATACTCTACAGTGGCTTTCTGCTGTCACTGCCCAGGGGTTCCTCACTAATAAGTGGTGGGAACCCCAGGCAGTGGGCCCAGAGATGGTGACGGCTTGGACCTGGTGGGCCTAGCTAGCTCTGGTCCTGCCTAGCTTTGCTGCTCCGTTCCACCCTCCACACATTCCTATCCCTACACTTGGGATTGCATGTTTTCTTTTTTTTTTAATTGCGGTCATAATAGTTTATAGCATTGTGAAATTTCAGTTGTACAGTATTATTTGTCAGTCATCATATGTATGTGCCCCTTCACCCCTTGTGCCCACCCCCCAACCCCATCCTCTCTGGTAACCACTAATCTGTTCTCTTTGTCTGCATGTTTGTTTATCTTCCACATGTGAGTGAAATCACGCAGTGTTTGTCTTTCTCTGTCTGGCTTATCTCACTTAACATAATAGCCTCAAGGTCCATCCATGTTGTTGCAAATGGGACGATTTCATCTTTTTTATGGCTGAGTCGTATTCCGCTGTGTATATATAAACATATATGTAAGTACACACCACATCTTCTTCATCCAATCATTAGTTAATGGGCACTTGGGTTGCTTCCACGTCTTGGCTGTTGTGAATAGTTCTGCAATGAACGTGGGGGTGCATAAGTCTCTTTGAATTGTTGATTTCAAGTCCTTTGGATAAATACCCAGTAGTGGGATGGCTGGGTCATATAGTATTTCTATTTTTAGTTTTTTGAGAAATCTTCATGCTGTTTTCTAGAGTTGCCGCACCAGTTGGCATTCCCACCAGCAGTGGATGAGGGTTCCCTTTTCTCTGCAACCTCTCCAACATTTGTTGTTTTTTGTCTTGGTGATTATAGCCATTCTAACACGTGTAAGGCGATATCTTAGTGTAGTTTTGATTTGCATTTCCCTGATGATTAGTGATGTTGAATGTCTTTTCATGTGCCTACTGGCCATCTGTATATCTTCTTTGGAAAAATGTCTGTTCATATCCTCCGTCCATTTTTTGATTGGGTTGTTTTTTTGTTGTTCAGTTGTGTGAGTTCTTCTCCTGCCTGTTTTATAAATAAAGTTTTATTGGCACACAGCTACTCTCATTTGTTTATGTGTATTTGTGGTGGCTTTTGCACTACAGTGACAGAGTCGAGTGGCTGTGACAGAGACCATATGGCCCACAAAGATGAAAACATTTACCATCTGGCTCTTCACAGAAACAGTGTGCCGACCTCTGTTCTAAAATGTAAAAATAGAAAATTTCTAGGAGGAAATCTTTGTGACGCTGGGTGAGGCAAAGATTTCTTAGATACCAACCATTTAGAAGAAAGTGATAAACTGGATACCGTCAAAATTTAAAACTTCTGCTCTACGAAACACACTTCTAGGAAAATTACAATCCACAGACCTGAAGAAAATATTTGCAAATCCCATATGTGAAAGAGGACTTGTATCCAGAACATATTTTTTAAAACTCTCAAAAACTTAATAAGAAAACAAACAACCCAATTTAAAAAATGAAGACTGGAACAGACACTGTCCCAAAGAAGACATACGGATGGCAAATAAACACATAAAAAGACGCTGAACGTCACTGGTTATTAGGGAAATGCAAATTAAAAGCACGCTGAGATACCACCACCATTTAGAATACCTAAAATGAAATAAAATGAAAGCAAACAACAACAAAACAGACAATACCAAGGTCTGGTGAGGCTGTGGAGAAACCAGAACTTTCACACATTGCTGGTGGATTCTAAGAGTGTTAGAGCAGCTTTGGAAAACAGATCGGCAGTTTCTTACAGTTAAATACACACCTACCACACAACCCAGAAATCCTACTTCTGCTCTTCACACAAGAGAAATGAAAACCTGTGTTGATAGAAAAACCTATGCACAAATGTAGCAGCTTTATTCCAAACCGCGCCAAAACTGGAACCACTCAAATGTCTCCCAGCTGTTGGTGGATAAACTATGGTATACCACACGGCGGAATACTACTCAGCAGTCAAAAGGGATTACTACTGTTCACTCAACTTGTGTGAATATCAAATACACTTTGCTGAGGGAAAGACACCAGACGCGAAGGCTACACACTGCACAATTCCATTCTGGAAAAGGCAAAACCACAGGGACAGATCAGCGGTTCCCGGGGCAGGGAGAGGGGGAAGGGCTGACACACAGTGGGAGCACCACAGAATATTTTCGTTTCTTGGGTGATGAAATTTTCCCACGTCTTGATCGTGGTGGTAGACATGTGACTCTGCATTTGCCAAAACTCACAGGAGTCTACACCAAAAAGAGTGAATTAAAAAATATGTTTAAAAGGACTGAGAAAGTGAACCTTCTGCATTGCAGCCCCGTTCCACAGCATGCTGGCTCCTCCTGACACACCCAGTCGAGGCAGGGAAGGCCTCCGTGGGCCCAGTTCTTGGGCAACTTGGCAACAACGGGAAAACCAAAACCCCAAGAGCAGTTTCTCGGTACTCTGGGGCCACTCCATCCTGTTCTCTGGGTCCCTTCCCCTGACCTTTTCCAAACCAGCTTCTGTCGCCACAAGTTCCGACCACAACTGGGCCTTCATCCCCACCCAACAATCAATGACTCCCAAGCCGTGGCCACTTCTGGCCGTCTCAGGGCTCCCGGGTCCTGTCTCCTCTCCCTGAACGCGTCTCTCCACGTGGAAGTCCTGCAGACTCCTCGGGGTCAACACGTTCAGCCCCACCAAGCCAGCTTCCCCTTCTGGCTCTCCATCAGTGGTATCACCATCCAGAGGTGACATTATGTTGCTCAGGATCAGTCTTCACATTGTGAATAAGTGGCAGGGCCAAGCCTCAAGCTGTCACTACAGAACAGTCTCCCAAGGACGAAACACAAGGCCCTTCTCGAGGGGACCCGCGCCTGCTCCCCACCCCTGACTCCCACTCCTCTGACTTCTTCCCAGCGTGCCACACACCTTCGTATTTCAGTGTCCTTGTTCCAGCTGCTCCCTTTGCTGCCCTGTCCATCACCTCCCCCCTTACCTTTACAGAGTCCCCCAGGACAACAGGCTGCTCTAGTCCCAGGCCCCCATACACCATTGGTGTAAACCTTTACTACGACACGAATCACTCACACTTGGAATTATTTGCTTTTCTCCCACATCACTGGGGAAAGCTTTGAGGGCCAAGGTTACATCACTGTCACCCAACAGTCCCCAGGCAAACCCAGGGTACCTGGCACACTGCAGGTGTGTCCCGCAGGCACACACAGCAGGAGAGGGGGACAGACGCTGGGTCTTAGGCTCACCCGGGAATCGTGTGTACTGGCTACCTTCTTCGACGTTAAAGCAGGGCAGATGGAACTGGACTGACTGTTATTAATATATTCAGTCTCTCACTCCTTTAGATCATCCATCCCATCGCATCCCATCCCACAGAGTCAGTCAACTGCAAAAAGGAAAGCTGGTTTAGCACAGCACTTCCTGTCGGCTTGGAAACGCTTCCCGTAACTGGACTCACCACGGAGAAGTCCTGTTTGGGTATCTCTGAGGGTTTGCAGCCCTGTCGTGCCATTTCAAACAATCCTGGCAGTTACTGTTTTATTTAGACAATCCTGGGTGACTCTGGCGATGCTGTTCATGTCAGTGGTACAGCCCTGAGCCACGAAACGACATCTCGGTCAACGACAGACCACATATATGATGGTGGTCCCGAAAGATTAGTCCCATACAGCCTAGGTGGGCGGTATACCTATCTATACCATGCAGGTTTGTGTAAATATACTTTATGATGTTTGCACAACAGAAAAACTGCCTAACGACACACGTCTCAGGATGTGTCCCTGTTGTTAAATGACGCATAGCGGTATAGCCACTACATAGAGAGAGAGAGAGATGTACATAAACGACATGAAGATACACAGAGGTGGTATTTGCCTAAGGCAGCGAGACTGGTTTCCATTAGGCACCATGAGAAGCTGTCGCATCTGAGAGTCACAGAGGACACTGTCTAAACTACTTGGGCCAGTGCAAAACTAGAACAGTCAAATATATCCTCAGGCTTAGCCCTGACACTTCACACATCAGATGATGGCGCCTGGACTCAATTATTGCTCAGGTCCTTTCCGGATAGAAAATTCTGAGTTCTTCAAGGTAATAGTCTTCGGAATGGAAGGTCACCCAGGAAATGCTCTGGTGCCAGAAAAAAGCCGAACACACCAGCTGACCCAATTACAGCATCGCCGAGAGGCGAGCGCCCAGGCGGACAGCGCACCCGTTCCCCACTTGCCCCTTCCCACAGCCCGTGGAGGGGAACGCTGCCGGCTGGGGCGGGCCCAGCCCCGTCCTGGCAGTTCCAGACCCCGGCTGAACAGTCCGGGGGAGAGGCAGAGCAGGTGCCACCCGGCATCTGGCCCAGCCGAACCGCTCAGGGGCCGAGGGGACCTGATCAGCTCCATGGCCCTGTTAAGAGCCCCGGCTTCTTCCTGGCTGGTCAAGGCCACGGCAGGGCTCTCTCAGAACTACATGGCAACCTGGCATGGCAGGAGACACCCAGGGGCTTTGCGGTCTGACAGATCTGAGCTCCTGCACGAGCCCTACTGCTGACTGGCTGAGCTCGTGTGGGTAAGGCACGTCCTTTCCTGGAGCTACAGGTTCCGGGTCTGCAAACTGGGGATGTACAGCCTGCTTTGCAGCACCCACCTCACCACCCGCCTCCAGGCCCACTAAGGAACACTCTGGCCTTGTTCCCCTGCGACCCTGGAAACGATCCACACCTTCAATGCCATTTCTAAAGGGCCTGGATCTCACGGAAGCCACGGGGTGGTTACAGCAGCCAGGGCTCACACCACAGCACCCCAGGGGAGGACCACGGGAGGTCTCATTCGCAGTTCCCTGCTCCACCCCACACCAGTGGCACCCTTCACCTTGGACCAATCAGCTGGCATCTTGATATGTTCGCTGGAGATCTGAACCCGATTCAAATCTTGTCCCCTTACTCCTACTTTGTTAACAAAATCAAGGTGAATGTGGGTATCCCCCCACCTCCCTGTCTCCAGCCACAAGCACCCTCCTCTCCTCTCCTCCCCTGAATTACTTCATTTGGTGGCACATGCACACCTGTCTCCCAAGCCACCCGTCTTACCCCTGTACCGAAGCAAGCACCAGGTTCCACCAGTTTCACGTCTGAGACATGTCTCACTCTCCCCCGTCTCTCGCCTTTGTCCTGGTTCGGTTCCCTGTCCCCTCTTGCCCACACTGACCTGAGTGGTCTCCCTGCCGCACCGTTATTTCAAACTCAGCCTCACTGAACCCAACTTGGTGTTTTCCCTCCAAATCACTCCTCTCCCTTCAGTTTTCCTGTTTCTCTGTCCCATGGTATCCCTCTTGCCTGGGGCATTCTGGACTGTTCCCTCTCCTGTGACTTCCTCCTCCGGCACAAATGCCTCTGTGAAGGGTGGCTGGAGCCTGTCTCTTCTGAGCTTCATTTAAATCCTTCCTTCCCCCAGCACAGACCGAGGCCCAGCCGTGTGCCAGGCACGGAGCAAGGCGCTGGCCGGGAGTGTATTAGATAAAGATGCAGTCTCAGTGCCGAGCCTCAAGGGCAGGCCTCTACCAGGCCACCCCTGTACTGCAGAAGCCTCTGGACTGGCCCACTGGTCCTGTCTCTCTCTCTCAGAAAAGCAATCCTCCAAGATCACCTCTGGACTGTGCCCAGGAGCCCTCCACCACCTGACCCTGGCACACTTTTCTAGATTGATCTCCAAGTGCACATTCTCGACCCTCTGCCTGGCCAAGCTGATCCAGTCAGACTTCCAGACCTCCGTGTGCTCTCCTCTCCAATGCACTGGGGCCACTGGCTGCACCTGCCCGCACCTCTCCACTCACGACGACCAGTGTGGACACGAGCTCTTTCACCACCAACCACCACCCAACCACACACAGGCATTTCTTTCAACACTCTCCCAGCGCTGTCCCGACCCACTGCTTCATCCTTTTGTTTAATCTCCGGCATCTGTCTTTTTGCCCCAATTCAGGTCATAAGTTCCTCAAGGGGGCAATTTCTTCCACTTCTCCCTACTCCTCGGTGACAATGAACAAGAGTTATGTTCCAGGTTCGCAATCTATAAAAGTGGGATCGTTGCCTTGGCCAACACACACTGAGGCTCTGAGTCGAGAGGGAAGGACAGTGGTTAGAGAAGCGAGTCCCCCCAACATGTCCAGACATGGACACTACCTTCTGCCACCTTCCTGCGTCACTGTCTCTAGACCCACACAAGAGCCTTCTACTCCAATGATGGGCTTTCTTGTCCACGTCCACGTTCTAAATTGCTCCTTCTTTGCCTTCACGGTTTCTCTCAGTGCCCACTCTCCATCTACCGGTCACTCAGGCAGAGACCCAGAATCGTCCACCGCCGTTCTCTCTTGCTCACGTCCCACACCTCAATACCCACCAAGTCCCTGTCTTTCACCCTCCAACTGTGTCTCAAACCATACCCCCTCTTCCCCAACCATGACAACCCGCGGTCGTTTTCACAACTTTTCTTATCTAAAGGAAGGTAATCACCTCTTCACTGGTTTGCTGGCCTTCAGCTTCATCTCCCTCTAACTCTTCCTACTGTGTGCAGACCTGACTCCTTCATGGTGTGGACTAAGACTGCTCAGTAGACACCCCTGGCCTGGCCTGCAGGCCCCCAGCCAAGCCCTCTGCACACCAGCTGCGTGAGTACAACTGCCACGCCTCATCTCACCTTTCTGGTCCCTGAAGGATAAGACCCCATGGCTCCTTGGGTAAACAGAGCTGTTCCCACCGCCACGCTTTTGCCTGAGCTGGTCCTGCCTCCAGGAAGGCCCTTCCCCACCGTCTTTGCCTGGCTAACTCCTCCCCCTCATGCTTGACCTCCTCCAGGAAGCACTCTGTGATCTCCCTTGCCCACCAAAGTTGGGTTATGGTGCTTTTCCTGTGCATCTGTATCAGCCAGTTGTAACCAGCACCACATGCACCAGAGTGGGCTAAAACGGTCCACACACACTCTGTAACCACCACTGCTTCCCCAGAGCCCAGCACGGGGCCTGGGACACAGCAGGAGCCGGGAGAGTTGGTTAGAGGCGGGAAGGAAGGCTCACTTCCCTTCTGCAGGCTGGTTTCCTCCCGTCTTCCGCGGACCCAAAGCCTCTGGCGGGCCTCACTGCTCCACCACTGCCACCTAGGGACCAAAGGAGCTAACTGCACTTCTCTCACCATCCAGCATCTAACTCGATTCAGTAAATTGAATGGGACAGCGACACAAACCAGGGAACAGTTGACTCCAGTGGGGGTGGAGTGAGCACTGAGCTGGGCCACACAGCAGGAGGAAGAGATCTCTAGATGGAGGAGAACAGCACTTGAGGCAGTGGGAGCAACAGGAAGAGAGGGTCGGGGTGGAGCCTGTGTGCAGGCGAAATCAGAAACGCACGGAGGGTTTGAGTACGCAAGACCTGGAATCCCAAACTTTAGCTTTTAAGCCACCTAAAAAGGTAAAAAAAAATTAATTTGTTTTTTTGCCACCCAAGGACTTTTAAATCAGGAGTGACACGATCAGATCCGTGTCGATAAAAGACAACTTTGCTGGAGTGTGGAAAGAGGCAGAGAAGGGAGGCAGAAAGCATGTGAAGCAATAAAACGAGCATCAGGAAGACAGCATTTTCATAATCCTCTTGTGTTTCACTGGCTGCCACATGACCTCAGACTCGACACGTTCGAACTGAAATTCTGCCCCTCAAAACCAGTGCTCCAACGTAAACTTTACTTATTTCCACATTTTGAGATGTTCAGAAATCTTGGCCTCTTTGTGGACCTTGAAGTCACAGAATCTTATAACAGATCCCAGCACAGAGCTTTGCACACAGAAGATGTTCAAGGATAACTTAACGGAATTCTTCCTGGGGTCCTCTGGACCCTTGTGATTATAACACTGGTAAAACCCAGTGATTCAGAGTAAGGACTCAGAGGACCTGCGTTCAAATCCCACCTCCATCACTTCACTGTGCAAGACGGGTCTTAGCCAGCAACCCATCTAAGCCTTGGTTTCTTTGTCCCCAAAATGGAAATTACAACAGCACCTGCCTCAAGGGCTGGAGATAAACATCTGTGAAGTGTCAAGCACACAGAGAATCCTCTCTAAATCCTGGTGACTATTTATAACATCATTTATTCAGTACCCACCATGCACAGGCCCTGCAGAAAGCTACATCCTTAAATCGGCCCAGCAGTATTCTCGTCCAGCCCATTTCACAGATGGGCAAACTAAGGCTCCCACAGTTGAGGTGGGATTCCGAGGCGTCGGAGATGGGTTGGAGGAACTTTGAGTGAAAGATTATTTAGTCCGGTGGCGGCTGTCACACGTGTATGTGTATGTACATGTGTGTGTGTGAGATACTTCTGTCAATGTCTGAAGACATTTTGGATCTCCATAACTGGGGAGCGGGGATGCTGCTGGCATCTAGTGGGTAGAGAGCAGGGATGCTGCCCAACATCCCACAAGGCACAGGACAGCCCCCAAACCCAAGAATTATCAGACCCAAAATGTCAGTAGTCCTAAGGCCGAGAAACCCTCCTTGAGTCCCACCATCCTCCCCATCTTCCCACTTCTGGAGCACTGGCCGGCCGGATCCCAGGTGAATACTTCCGGAAAGCGGGGGCTCTGTCTCTCCAGGGGCAGCGCCTGCAGAAGTTGTTCCCCGCCTGCCCTGCACACAGTAGGTACCAGAGCTCATCTGGATAAGACCAGCAGCAGAGGACGCCGGAAAAGGAAGAGCATCCATCCCCCATTGTTCAATAGCTTGCAGTTTTATGTTTTCAACACACACACACACCTTTTACACATCCAAACGTCCCACGCCCCAAAAACAGCTTTGTTAGAGATGGCGTCCAAGGAATCTATCTATTTTCCAGGACTCTCATGCCTGCAGAAGGGTTTGCACACTTCTACAAGGACCTCGGGGCAGCCGCGGTCCCCTGACAACGACCACAAAAGAATCTGGAGGATTCCCCGGGGGAGCGAGCCCGTGGGCCGTGACCCCTGCGCGCTGAGGGCGCTCGCCGCGCTCCCCCGCCTCTGGCCCCGCTCTCCCGCCCCCAGATCGCCAGCTTCCCAGCCCTCCGGGGCCCCGGCCGCCAGGCGCGTGCCCACGCCGCGTCCCCCTCGCCGCCCCTCGCGGCGGCCGAGGAATCCGGCCCGGGGCCCGTCGCCGGCGCCCCCCCCGGCCGGCCCCCGCCCGCCCGCCCGCCGCGGCCCGCACGCGGCACCTCCGCCCCGGCGCGGCCTGGGCCTCGGCCGGTGCAGGCCCGCGGGAGCCCGCGGCCCGGTCAGGCGAGCTCAGGCCTGCCGCGGCCTACCCCATCGGGCGCCGCCGAGGGCCCCCGCCTCACCTGGACGCGGGCGGGCGGGCCCGGGGCTGCTCCGGGGCGGGCGGGCGGCGGCGGCGGCTCGGCGCTAACGGCTCCGCTCGGCCTCGGTAGCGGTGGCGGCGGCGGCGGCGACGGCGACGGCGGCGGCGGCTCCTCCTCAGCGCGCACGACCCGCTCCGGCCCGCGGCCCGGACACGCCCCCCCGGCGCGCGCGCCCATTGGCCGGCGCCCGCCACGGCGCGCTTCTCATTGGCTGGCGTGGCTGTCGCGGCGCCCCGGGGCGCGCGGCGGAGGCGGGACTTCCGGCCGGCGCCGCCTGCGGAGGGCTCGGCAGCCGGCGGAGACGCGGGTGGCCGGCGATGGCCGCGGAGGGGGCCGGCGGGGGCCGGGCCCACGGAGGCCGGCGGAAGGCGGTGGCCGAAGAGCCGCGTCCCTGGTCGAGCGCATGCCGTGCGTCCCGCGCCCGTCCGTCTCGCCGCCGCCGCCGTCACCGCCCTGCAAGGTAGGAACGGTCAGCGCGCCTGGGCTGTGGGGACAGGACCCGGGTTCGAATCCCGGCCCCGACGTTTCCGCACTACGTGCCGTTGGGCCGGGGCTGACGTCACCTCGCCGGGCCTCAGTTTCCTTAGCTGGTGTGGCGAGGAGGCGGGGCATGGGACAGCGTTCGATTAGTATTGACAGCAGAGCTGGTGGGTCCCCAGTTCATTAAAATGTGATTGAGCGCCTACTACGTGCCAGTCGCTGTGTGGACAGGCAGGCAAAAATACCTGTCTTTTCTGGGCTGACATTCTAGACCAGCGCTGTCCAGTAGAAATATAAGCGAGTCCCAAATGTTGGCCACATGCATCATTTAAATTTTCTAGGAGCCGCGTTAAGGGGGAAAAAATTAAAAAGAAACATGGTGATGTTAATTTTAGTAATGTGTTTTATTTAACCCAATTTCTGTCCAAAATGTTTTTTCAACATGTGATCAATAAAACGATGAGATCTTTTACATTGGTGCCCCCCCTTCCCCCCGTCTTTGAAATCTGCTGTGTCTTCTACACTCACAGCACACCCCGAGTTGGACTGGCTGTTTTGCAAGAGCCCAACAGCCCCCCGTTGCCAGTGGCTACTGCAGCGGGCCATGCAGTGCTGGATGGGGCGGCAGAAAGGAAATCAAGTGGAATGGAGAAGAAAAAGTCAGCTGGGAAGGAGCGTGAGGGATGTGGCGGTTGCGATTTGAAAGAGGGCGGTCGGGGAGGTTGAGAAGATGGCCTTTGTAGACCAACTGGAAGGAGCTGAGAACACTAAAATAATCATGCCATTCGTTGTTTAGTAGGGCACTTGTCCAGTAGAACTTCCTGCGATCGTGGCCCCGTTCTTTATCAGCACTGATTTCGTAGCCACCAGCTCGCTGTGGCTTTTGGGCAGTTGTCACGTGGCTGGTGCCACTGAAGAACTGAATTTTTGATGTATTTCATTTTTACTCAATTTAAAGAGTCACGTGGAGCCAGTGGCTCCTGTAGTGGATAGCATCGATTTAGGAGAACGGTGGCAACTGCTCTGAGCTGAGTGTGTATAGCTTGCTAAATGCTTTATGCAGGTTCTCACGTGTAATCTTCAAAATAGCCCTCTGAGAAGGAAGCTGTCGTCATTGTCGCCATAATGAATGAATGAAGTCTTTCGTTCATTCATCTATACTTTATTAGTATTATCATTGATAGACTGCAGTTTTTAGAACAGCTTAAGATTTACAGAAATACTGCAAAGGAGGTACAGAATGACCATTTTCCCCACACCTGGTTTTCCCTGTTAGTTACATCTGTTATTAGTCTGATACATTTGTTAGACTTAATGAACCAATCTTGATATGTTATTATTAACCATAGTTCACAATTGATTTAGATTTCCTTTGTTTTTACCTAATACCCTTTTTTTCTTTTTCAGAATCCCATCCAGGATGCCACATTACACTTGGCCGTCCAGTCTCTTGTATTTATTTGTTTTTTCGAGTTATTAAGTGACGTGTAACATTGTATTTGTTTTAGGTGCGGAACATAATGATTGGATATATTATGTATTGCAAAATGATTACCATCCTAAGTTCAGTTAACATCCGTCACCAAACATAGTTGCCTTTCTTTTTCTTGTGATGAAAACTTTCGAGATCTATCCTCTTGGCTGACCTCTCTCTCGGCTCGTCTTGGCTGTGCCAGATTCTCAGCCTTCCCTTGTTCTTGATGTTCATGACGGTTTGGAGGAGGACTGGCCACATATTTTGTAGGATGTCCCTCTCTAGGAATTCGTCTGGTGTTTTTCTCCTGCTGAGACTGGCGTGATGGTTTTGGGGGAGAGAGACCAAAGAGGTGACATGTCATTCTCATGACGTCATATCAAGGATGCGTACTGTCCACGTGATGCGTGCCTGTCGCTGTTGGCCTTGATCCCCCCGCTGAGATAGTGTCTGTCAGGTTTCTCCACTATAAAGTTACTCCCCCGCTCTCGGTGTTGTATACTTTGGAAGAAAGTTGCACAAACATAAAGAGTAGGGGTGTATGTTTCCCCTCCTGAAGGGTGGATAGCTACATAAATTATTTGGAATCCTTCTGTGTGGAAGGTGTATCTCTTTTCCCCATTTATTAGTTTATCTAATCATTTAGATATATCAATATGGCCTGCTGGGTAATAATTTTATACTCTGGGTTAAAACCCAATACTGCTTTATTTTCTCACTCAAGTTGTTCCAGCGTTGGCCACTGGGGGCTCTTTCACTTGGCTCCTGTAGATCTTTGACACGCTCCCATGTGTGTGTTGTGTTGTTTTGTTGGTTTTCTTTGGAGCGCTTCCTTGCTTTCTGGCACGACACGATGCTCCATTCTCATCCTGTGTGTTTCTTGCCCCAGTCCTAGAATCAGCCATTCCTCCAAGCCTGGTTCCTTTCACTGGAGAATGATGTTAGAACCCAAGATCTGGGTGCTCAGAGTGTTGATTGCCACTAGAGTGTCGTTTCTTTTAGATCATCAACACTTTTTTTTTTTTGGTGAGGAAGATTCACCTTGAGCTAACATCTGTGCCAGTCTTCCCCCATTTTGTATGTGGCTCGCCACCACAGTATGACTTGATGAGTGGTGTAGGTCCATGCCTGGGATCCGAACCCATGAATCCAGATTGCTGAAGCGGAGCATGCTGGGCTTAACCACTATGCCACTGGGCCAGCCCCCATCAATACTTTTTAATCACCCACAATGCACCCGGTTCAGGAGCTCAGCCCTGGGGATATGACAATGACTATGTGAGATGTGGCATCTGCCGTTGTGGGACTCAAGTCAACTTGTGGGGACAGGCTGAAGAGGGCAGCTCCACCACTGACTGGCTGTGTGACCTTGGGTGAGTTATTTAATCTCTGAGCTTCAGCCTTCCCATCCGTGAAGTGGGGGTGATTATAATACTTCATGAGGGCACTGTGAGAATTCAGAGAAATCACCCACTTTTAGAATCTCTGAAAGAGAGCCTGGCATAAAGTGCTTATTAAGTTTTCTTCTTAGTAATAGTAATAAGATCTCACAAATAATTACAATCTGCAGAGGTTCAGAGTACCAGCAAAGCATGTAACAGGAGAACCTGACTTCATTTCAAGGTGGCCAGGGAAGGCTTCCCAAGTCAGTGGTGTTATGGCTGAGGCAGGAAGAGTAAGTCACCAGGCAAAGGAGGGCAGAATGTTTCGGCAGGAAGAACAGCAAGTGCAAAGGCCCTGAGGCCGGCAGAAGCCCAGCACACTTAGGAACTGAGAAAAGGCTGGTGGTGGAGACATGGGCCAGACAGGAGACTAGGGGGATTGGAAGGGGCAGGCCACACAGGGCCTGGCTGGCCGTGATGAATTGAGACCCGATCCTAAGAGAAAGGGGGGTGACTTGTCTGAGTACACATGTCTAGTAAGGACAGAGCTGGGATTTGAACTCAGGGCTGCTTAGTCTCAGAGCTCTTTATTTCCCTGGTCTGAGTTTGAGATAGGAGGTTCTTGTGTGTTGTTTTTTTTGCGAAGAAGCATAGTTTGGGTTCTTACGGGTCAGAATCAGAGTACACCCCAGCCACCGAAGTTCCAGGTTGTTCTTGCCATCCCCCACACACAAGCTCTGAGGGTCTATGAGGGGAGGAGATGCCAGGACGGCCCAGCATGAGCCCTGCTGTTGAGGACATCACTGCCCCAAGGGAGAGAAGGACACGCAGACACAGAAATTCAAGCGGAGTGACAAGGGATGGGCCCAGAGCACCGCTTCTCGTGGAGGGCATGCCCGAGCCGGAGGACGGTGGGAGTGAGAGTCTGCCAGCCAGAGGAGGTGGAGGTGGGGCTTCCAGACAGAGGGACCACCGGAGCAGAGGCCTGGATTTGTCCCCGAGGGCCGTTCAGGGAGCAGAAAGCTGCGGGAAGTGCTGAATGCGGGTTGTGAGGGAAGAGGACCAGGAGATGGGACTGGAGCCCCAAAAGGGCCCTGGAGAGTCAGGCCGAGAAGGTGGGACTCTGTCCCAGAGACCAGGAGCCGGCAAACCACAGCCCGAGTTGGCCCACGCCTGTTTTTGCACAGCCTGTGGCTACAAATGACTCGTACATCTTTAAAGGGTTGGAAAAAAACGAAAGAAGCATAGTATTTTGTGACGCGAGAAAATTACACGAAACGCAATTTCAGCGTCCATCAAGTCTGATAATAACACAACCACGCCTGTCATCCGCATGTTGCCTGTGCTGCTTCCAAGGGACAACGTCAGAGGCAGGTTTGCTTAGGCAGGGCCTCCTTCATGGCTGTGCAAACCGTGTAGTCACACAGGGCCCCGCGCTCCTACTGTCACCGCTCTGAAATTCTTAATAATCTAGAAATGAGGGACCCCGCGTTTTTATCTTGCGCTGAGGTCTGAAAATTACGTAGCTGATCTTGGCGACAGAATCGTATGGCCCACAAAGCCTAAAATCTTCGCTATCAGGACCTCTTCAGAAAGAGTGTGCTGGTCCCGCTGTGCTGGGCAGAATAACCACCCCCGAAGATGTCCATGTCCTAATCTAGAACCCGTGACTCTGTTACCTTACCTGGCAAAAGGGCCTTGGCAAATCAGATGAAGCTGCAGATCTGGAGACGGGGAGATGATCCTGGATTATCTGTGTGAGACCAATATCGGCATAAGAGGGAGGCAGGAGGGTCGGAATCAGAGAAGATGTGACAACGGAAGCAGAGGTCAGTGATGTCGTTGCTGGCTTTGAAGATGGAGGAAGGGGCCACAAGCCAAGGAATGCAGACGGCCTCTAGAAGCCGGAAAAGCCCGGGAAACGGATTTTCCCCCAGCTCCTCCAGGAGGACCGCGGTCCTGTCTACACCTAGATTTTAGCCTGGTAAGACCCATTTCAGTCTTCTGACCCCCAGGACCGTAGGATAATAAATGTGTGTTGTTTCAAGCTGCCACGGTTATAGTCATTCGCTACAGCGGCCATAGAGAACTGGTCTACTAGCCACAGGCAGTGGGCATCTGAAAAAATTTGTCTCTTAGCCAAGAGTTTTGCATGAGAGACATACACAAATTCTTTGCTTATTTACTTATTTGAAGGAAGGGAACCAGAGAGAAGGGAGGTATACATGCTCCAAAGAAGGGAGAGGTAGGGCGGGAGGCTGTCAAGACAAGCTGGGGAGGGATGTCAAAGGCCGTGGCAGGCGGAGGGGTAGGGGGAGAATTCCAGACACTTGAGAGGTGGGATCACCAGGACTTGGCGACCAGTCGAATGTGGAGAAGATGGTGGCCTATTCATTAGCCACAGCGATGTGGGGGAAAGCCCTGACATTTGAGCCATTCCCAGGGCTCCGGGTCGGGGTGGGGGACGTTTCCGGCACAGAAGTGTTTAAATGTCAGGTGAGCGGTTCACTGGCCAGCTCACAAAGCCGAGGCATCAAAGCAGAAGGCTTGTTCTGAGAAGAGAAGCCAAGCAGGCCAGAGCAAGCCCAGAGAACCTTCTGGCACTCGAGCTCTCTGGGGGCCCGACTTCCATCTGATTCCGTCTGAAGTGCCAAGCAGGTCACTCATAAATCCAAGAAGCTTGATTTCTTTTTTCTTAGGCAGCTGAGTTTATTTTCAGATTAACAATTTGGAGTTCACGTTCCTGGGTGGTTCAGAATGGGAGGAGCAAACAGCCGAGGGTGCTGACTCCTTCCGGGTGCGGGTCCCCGTGGTTCCTATTCGTGCACGTTTCTGCCCCGCCGAGCCTGGCCCTGGAGCAGGCACAGAGGTGCAAGTTTTCCTTTGGGAACCGCTGTGCTAATATTCCCCAAGCCGCAGTTTGCTTGTTTGTAAAAGCAGGTGACACTGCCACCTTGGGGACACGAGTGAAGCAGGCACCGAGCAGAGCATCTGACACACCGGGACCACCGTCACGCCAGCAGCCCTGAAAGAAAATTCTGTGCCGAACGCCCCAGACAGCAGGAAGGGCTCTGCTTCTTGTCTCAAGAGTCGTGGCCCCTCGGACACCGCCACTTGAGATGATGTGGGGCTCTGACCTGAGCAAGCTCACCAGTTTTGTTTTCTAGAATTATCTTTCTGGGTCTGACCCATAACCCTTCCACTCCAGTATCTTTCTGGCAAGAATATCAGGGCGAATTTTATCTCCCATAGGGTCAAAGGTTAGAAAAGGCCCCCCAGCCCTGATTCCCAGGGTCACAGAGTGGCCTGGTTTCCCCTGTCATCCCAGAGTGTTATGATGGTGACCACTTTCGCCTCCAGCTCACACGGCCACCCTTCTCACTCCTACAGTGACACGGTCGTAGCCGCTATATCACCTTTCCAGTTTTCACTTTTAAGATTTCCAGGTTTTTTCTAATCCAACTGTTCTTTTTCATGACGTACGAGTTCTTTTTCTTCCTTTGTCTCTAAGTGTTTTACAGGTATTTGTCAGGTTTTCTGCAGCACTGCTTTTCAAAGCTTTTTTTTAAGTGCAAATTCAGTGGTTTCTAGTATACTGACAAAGTTGGCTTCTGCGCCCCCCCGCCCGGCAACTCCCACGCTCCCGTGTCACAAACCCTCAAACCTCCCGGCTCCCCAGATGGAAGGTCCAAAAGCACCCCCAGCGGCGTTCTCAGCTCGCCCCACGCGTGCCGAGCTGTGAATGCACACAGTTCAGAGCAGATTGCACAAGGTGAACAAGCCAGATGTTATCAGTCTATTAGAAGCTCACGCAAGTTGATAAGAAACCAAGGAGCGAAGATCAGAAACGCTTAGTTCGCAGGAGGAGGGGGAGAGTCAACAAACTCCAGAGCAGCTCTTCCTGGTGTCGAGGGGGCCCTGCGGGGGAGGGCTGGTCAAACGAAGGTCATCCAGCCCCGCCAGGACCCCGCCATCCTCGGAGGGGGCGGCTGTGTTGATCAGAAAGACCCTTTGCAAGCTATCCACCCCCCATAGAAAAGGGCTCGTCGTCTGACCCTGCGGCTGTACCACTGACAGTTATCCCGAGCCACCAAAGGAAGGGCTCTCGGCGCAGAAGGACGGCTCTTCCCATCTTTAATGAGTCACCTTCAGGTTGGCAACAATCCGGACGCCTGGCGCTGGGGCCGGCTTGGTGAACTGCGTATCCGCGAGAAATGGCGGGTTGGAGGAAGGGCCCTTGGCCGAGCTCTGTGTAGATGCAGTTGATCCTTGCGGTGCGCCTGTGAGTTGGGTCCTGTGACCCCCGTTTTGCAGCAGGATCAAGGGGGCCCAAGGTCACACACTCCCAGAAGAGGGGCAGGAAGGGGCCAGAGGCGGGCCCGTTGGAGCTCAGACCTCATGCACAGAACCTTGGTGCCCAACGGCTCATGATGTAAGAGAAAGAAGCAGGGTACCAAAGGGCACCTGCACTCTGCACAGCCTGCTGCCAGAGAGGTGGAGGGAGAGCAGAGAAGGAAACTGGATGGACCGCCCGCCCGAGGGAGGCCCTTCCCTGGGGGGATGGCAGGAGGGAGGTCAGACAGAGCAGGATGCAGATAAAAGGTGGGTGGGGCCTGGGGGAGGGTTTGTCTGGACCACTCTGGGAAGGAGAGCAGCGCCATGTGGGGTCTCATGGGTTCCCCGTAGCATCTGCGGGTGTGATTTCCACTTCTGCATCCAGCCAAGGCCCAGCGGCTGAAGATGCTCGAGTTTGGAGGGAAGTGAGGCACCTCAGTTGTGCAGTTCAAGTGATGGCTTCAGGTCCACAAGCAACAGGGAAGGAACCAAGGCTGTGGAGAAAGGGTCCATCTTGATCTTTGTTCCTTCCCCACGTCCCTAGGCACCTGGTGTGCATCCTGGGCGTATCAGCTCCCTGTCTTATTTGGGTGCATCCTGGGTGCCTGCTCGGGCTGCCAGAACAAAGCAGCACGGACTGGGTGGCTTATGGACAACAGAAATGTACTTCTTCGCAGTTCTGGAGGCAAGGGGTGCAAGATCGAGGTGTCAGCAGGGTTGGTTTCATTGGGGCCTGTCTCCTCCCTATGTCCTCACGTGGTCTTCCCTCTGCGCGCGTCTGTGTCCTAGTTTCCCGTTTTTGTAAGGACACCGGTCATGTTGGATCAGGGCCCACTCTCATGACCTCGTTTTAACTTGATGGCATCTTTAAAGGCCAGATCTCCCAATACAGTCGCTTTCTGAGGCCCTGGGGGCTTGGGGCTTCAACATCTGGATTTGTGGGGACGCAATTCAGCCCGTAACTCTGGGGGAGCATGCACCTCTTTTGCAGCCCAACTGGGTGTTGGCCCTTGTCACCCCCGGGCACTGCCCTGTCTGCCACAGGTCAAGGAGGCAGGATTCTGGGGTTTGGACACCCCATTCTCTGGCAGATAGGGCCGACCTAGGCTCAGGGAGGGGCCACGTAGAAAGCCACAGAGGCTGGCCAGAGCAGCCACACCCGGTGCAGGGGCAGTCGGTGGGGCGGGGTAGTGGGGGGGAATCCAGGAACCTGCGATGGGAGGGATGGGATGGGCCGTCTCCCCAGACCAGCCCTCCCACCGCCAGGAGCAGGGGTTTTCCGGGGCTCCCCCCCAGGGAAGTCCCTCTGGACACACGCTTGCCTTCCTCCTCCCCTCTGAGCCATTGCACTGGGGCTTTCTCTAGCCACAGCCCCGCTGCCCTCTTCCCCCTGGCCCTTCCCCCAGACACACAGCTGCTCTGCTCCCACCGCGCCTGCCAAGATGAGGATGGCAGCAAGGCGCCCAGCGGAGGGGCTGGCTCTCGGTTAGGCAGTCAGCAAACATGAGCCCTTCTCTTCCCAGTCGCTGTGAGCTCCTTGAGGGAACAGCTGTGTCCTGGCGTCCCCAGCGCCCGGCACGGGGCCTGGCATCCAGTAGGCAGCAAAGGTTTGCTGACCGAATGAACAAGCAACGAACCCTTCTCACGAGGGACGATGACAGTGAGACGCCAGCCTGGGTTCGTCACGTGCCAGCAGAGCCCACATCCATCTCCCTCTTACTGGATCAGGCCACCCAAGCGGGGGGTCCCTTCCACGGTGGGTGACACGGGCACCCCACTCCTGCCCCGGCCCAAGGAGGACCTGTCTGACTCCAGGGGTGTCACTGACAGGAGCATTTCGGGGCGACAGCAACAAGGAGCCAGAGGGCACGTGCACCACTCCGAGCTCACCCTCTCCTCCTGTCACGAGGGTCCTGTCCGCTCCTGACCCGTGTCTGTGAACGAGCTGGCTTGTTCCCCATCCAGACAGCACAGGCTCGACACGTGTCCTTAGCACACTGTCTGCCTTGCGTGCCTTCCCAGGGCCGCGGGGACCTGGAGGCTAGAGTGGGTCGGGCTCGGGGGACGGGGAGAAAACGCTCCCCTCTCAGCTCCGTCCTCCTCCTGAGCCCAGACCAGGCCTGCCTTTGCATTTCAGAGAGAGGAGCGTTCCACCCACGCTAGTGCTTCCCTTTCGGGGCTGGCCAAGGGTCAGGAGGAAGTAGGAACAGCTTTTCCCAAGAAAGGCAGGGCAGGGGTAGACAGGCCAAAGGGCACTGAGCAAAACCCTCCATCAGGCAGGGGGTATCTCTCTCCACGCTGCTGACCTTTGGGCCCGAGGATTCCTCATGATGGGGGCAGAACTGTGCACTGTGGGACATTTGACAGCATCTCTGGTCGCCCCCCGACAAGCGATGACAACCCAGTCTCTTTCCAGACAAGGCAGGTGTCCCCTAGGAACCGAATAGGCCTGGGTGAGAACTGCCACTTTGCAGAACGGAGCCTGGAAAGGGCGCTCCGTTGCCCGGGTTCCCGTGCCGATGGTAAGGGCCGTCACATCCAGGTCAGGTATTCAGGGAGCCAGCTGTTCTATGTGCCCTGTGCCCTGTGTCAGGAATTCTCCATGCCCCCTCCCCCTCCCCAGCCGCCGTCTTCCAGAACCGAGTCCACACACCACATCCCCCAAGTGGTGTCCCTGAAGCCCCCGTTTTAGGAGCTTGACCGCCACGGGTGCTGTG